AACAAAAAATTACATCAATTCTGGGAAAAAAGGTTATGGCCGATTGGTAATGGGTTAGATTTTCAGGTTAAGGACCCTGGTTCGATCCCCGCCGGGCTCGGGACTTTTTGCTTTTTGAGATAATTGTAATCTAGGTGAATTTCGAAAACTTACTACTTGCATACTTGCCAGGTTTTGACAGCTAGAAAAAAACGGGACCTAAGAAATTAAATCCGGGATGGTTGCAATTACGCGAGAGAGAGAGAGAGAGAGAGAGAGAGATCGAGTGAAAGAAAAGAAAGAAGAGAGAGAGAGCGCTAGAGAGAGAGCGAGAGAGATAGAGTACGAGTGCCAGAGCACGTCAGAGAGAGTGAGAGAGAGAGAGAGAGCGCGAGAGAGAGAGAGAGTGAGAGAGAGAAAGAAATAAAGAAAGAGAGAGAAAGAGAGCGAGAGAGATACCCAGGAAAAGTTACAAGGTTTCGAAATTATGATACGAAATGGGAAAACCGATCGTTTACCATGGCCATCCTTGCCCAGATTTTATGGCCTGGGAATTCTCATGGCGGCCGAAAATACGGAAGAGCTTACAAAAAATATTACCATTTTTTTATATAAAAATAAGCACTTGAATAAACATAAATGAGGCCCGCAAAAAATACCTAAAAATTCTTTACAGTCTTGGGGTGTAAATCAAGGAAATACAGCTTTTAGTTATTACTCTGATTATTTAATTTTCTGGAAATATCAAACTCTAGAGTGCTAACTTCTATTAAAATCTACTAAAATTCCTGAAATCCCTTTACTAAGCAATTGGTCAAAAATGAAGCGTCCCGGTCTGAGAGAATCGTCTTTTCCGGTGGGGGATAGGGGGCAAATACGAGCGGAGCCGTTTTTCGGGCTGTGAATCTGAAGAGAAGCCTCCCCCCTCTGTGAGAAGCCATCTACTAACCGAACCTCCGAACCGAGTGCCCCTGGATTTCAACAAAAAATCAGGGGAGCCCACCCCGAAAAAAGCAGGGCTCAATGGTACGGTAAATATTTGTGGGAAGGAGAAGATGAGGGATATTGGGGATATCGGTGGGAAAAGCTGGCGAAAAATCGCGTTAGGCGGTCAGTTATACTGTAGTTTATCGTTTTTAAGGGGCTGGAAATGGGAACTGTAGCATCGCGTACTACTGCCGTAGCGAAAACTCGTGCTTCTTCATTATCGGGGGTGGGGGTTGGGGTTGGGTTCGGCCCGGCACCGGAAAATACATTTTTTTAATACTGCCGTAGCGAAAAGTGGCACTTTTGCTTTATCGGGGGAATCCGATTCTTTTTGTATAACTCCAGAAATATTTAGTAACGTTGTAATGGTGTTTGAAGAGTATTTTTGAGCCAAATTACATTAGATATCAAGTAGAAAAACTTTTAAAATGCGAATTGCAGAAAATTTGATATTTTGTATTTTGAATAAAAATTGTGAGTTTTTAGGTTTAAGCCTAGGCTTAGGAAAACCTCAATCTACGACCTAGTCAAGAGGGTTAAGAGAATTAGAGATGGAGAGACAAAAATTCGTAGATTTCGAAAGCTGAAGCCCCGACTCGAAGCCGTGAATCCAAGGGTGGGGGGGACCAGATCCGTGCCCCGGCTGTCAAATTATGATATTTACCGGGTGGTTGTGCTGTCTTGTGTATTTAGGATGGAGATGGACTGATAGAAGGGGGCTACGAGACATTCCTATTTACACAACACAGCGTAGCTTTTGGCTTAGCTGACGAAAGCAAACCCAGAAAAAATAGTAGAATATGCTGCTGTAAGCTTAACGATTTCCGGTTTTGAGGCAGGCTCGCAGCGATCCTTGGGGAAATCAAAATGTAAAATTTTCATGTGATACAAAGTCCATTGTCGATTTTTCCGGATTTTTCTGAATCAATATTGATAGAATTCCTCCCAAAATTAGAGCAACAATTTCCAAAGTTTACAGTAAGGTTTACAAGCCCTTTCCACCCTATTTTGCATCTGTTTAGAGAAAAGGGCAAGACACGAAACGAGAGTCAACAGTACTGTAGCGGACAGGAAACACCAACACATCAGCATTCCACAAATTTGGGTGCCTATTTTCAACGTCGTAAAAATCGAATTTTCCAGCTATTTTTATTTTAGATTTTGACACGTTCAATGCTACAGTACCCCGGACTTCAACCGTTCTTTAATTGAAATTGATGCGAGCTTAAAGGATAAGTAACTTACGGGCAACCTCCTCCTCCTCGATCTCCTCGGCGGCCGGCGGCATGATTTCCCTGGAAGAAAATGGATGGTTATGCAAATTTAGGATATGCTTGAAGAGAGAGAGAGCGCAAGAAAAGAGAGATAGAGAGAGAGGGAGAGGGAGCGCAAGAGATTGTGATAGAGAGTGCGAGAGAGAATGAGTGAGTGAGTGAGAGAGAAGGAAATATAGGGATAGGAGAGTGAGACAGAGAGAGAGAGAGAGAGAGAGAGAGAGAGAGGGAGAGAGAGAGAAATCGAAAATGCGGAATTTGCATAAATTTTTTGAGATGTAATGTAGGTAACTTTTTAACGGTCCCGGGAAGGCAAACTTCCAGTCATCAAAATTATGCCACCAAAAGGTTAGGAAAAACCAGCATTATTTTGTCAGAATAAACAGTACATTACAATACACTACAAGTTTAACTTATGCAAGATTGACAATAGGATATGGTCGGTCTACCTTGTAGTTTTCCAGACCCTTTAAAGGGCCCTTGAAGGTCGGCAAATGTTGAAAAAAATGGGTTGTTATGTCGGAATCGTTGGTTTTGGATTTGTGCGATGATACTCGCGGTCTACGGCGTTGCCCTCCCCCTAAAGGAATCAAGGCCGAGGATCTGCCAAAAATCGCCTTTTCAGGTTCTGGATCAATTTTTTTATCTAAAAAGATACGCGATAGCGTTCAGCCGTTTCAAAATACCATTGAAGGAAAGGGAATCCACAGAAAAAGTCAGATTCACGAAATAGAAAAAGCGAAAAGACAGAAAGAAACCGGATTATTGGTGTTTGATAGTGGTTGAGAGGGGGGAGTAGGGTGGGGGGTGGGGGGCACCTGGGCCATGGAGGAGCTCGAGCTCCACCTCCTCCTCCCCGGCTTCTCCTCCTCCTTTGCCGCCTCTTTGGCTCTCCCCAATTTCTCAGCAGGCTGTCGATCTCGGCTTCGAGCCCCCGGGGGTTGAGCCATCATTACAGCACACAACACACCCAACCAACTGAGGGAGGAGGAGATCCACCTCCTTTTCATGCTTTCAGGGCACAAATAGACCGCCCCCTCAACTCACCAAGGGGAGGAGGGCCACCTAGGGAGAATGAAAAATTGCTCGGTATCTCTGGGTTTCTCTCTCCCTCTCTCTCCTCTCTCTCTATCTCTCGTTCTCCCTGCCTCTCCTTCCTCTCGCAAAGCCAGAAAATACTCGCTGCTAGCTCGGAATCTCTGGCTCTCTCTATATCTTTCTCCCTCTCTTTCTCTCTCTCTCTCACTCTCTATCTTCCTCTCTCGCTCGCTCTCTCTCTCTACCGATTTTCTATAGCCAACTGTGAAAACGCTACTGATACTCATCATGACTTACTCTTTTTCTCTCTCCGCTCTCTCTTCTCTCGCTCTCTCACTCTCACCCCTCCCCCTCTCGCTCGCTTTCTCTCTCCCCAACGCTGAAAATACCCCACTGATAGCTCTTCCCCTCTACCCTCTCCAAAGCGGATACCTCCTCACCGGATCGGCAGTCGAATTTTGCCACCTCAGGGATTACAGCAATCTGGAATCCATCGATCCTCTCTCCTCTACCCGGCCACTCGACTGAGCCGTTTTTATGGACTTCCGAGGACCCGATGAGCAGCCCCAATCACTGGGGGATCTGATTTTTATGCCCGAGAGTTACTGGGCAAACTCGAGTACGGTGGTTGGGTCGCGGGATAGAGAGAATTCATTCAAGGCACTACCCGAAACTTACAAAAAAAAATGGCCGGGACCGACTCCTGACCCTTTAAAAAGAAAGATAGATGCCAGACCTCATGCTCCTTTTGATGCGTAGCGGTCGCGTTGCGGAGACATAGCAGAGATAGCCGCAACGCAGTCGCGATGCGCCAAAGGTTGAGTAGGAGGTCTTTGGAGTTGCGTAAGTTGGTAAAAACGACGCAACGCGGCCGCAACGCGATTTGGATTTAAGGCAAAAGGCTCAGGTAGGCAAATGTCGCAAAATACCTTGGCTGACGCACTAATCGGATGATAAAGATGTAAATTTATAAGCTAGAGATCGATACGGACGTTAATTTTTCGCTTTCGTGTATATTTCGATACCTTTGTCGTATTTTCTCGCGTTAGTGCGGCAATTTCCAGACAGCCGTCTCGTATATTTCCTCACTTCCTCCTCCCTTCAAAACCCACATGACTCAACCGGTATACAACCGAGTGTTTGGGCAGTAAATTCCTCTGGGTCCCGGCCCCCCGAAGAAACCCAATCGGCTGTTTTGAAAACTCGGGCTCCTCCGTGGCCCTGTTTTTTGAGTACCCAGCGCCCGGGGCGTTTCCACTTTTTTTTGGTTCCTCGGCCGGGCGGACAGCTGCTGCCACTGTGAATCCACACCAACATCACCTTCCTATAGACATCGAGAGGCAGTCAACAGGCCGATGATCTATGTGCGGCGGATGGGGAGATCGCACGTTTCTAGGGGGATCGGAGGCGATGTTTGCGTTTAAAGGGATTGGCAAGGTTAGACTTCCTGATGGATTTTTCTATAGCCGTAACAAGGAACGTGCAGACTGCACAGTCGATGATAACACGATAACGTGGCGCTCGCGTGATGTGAGCGGCACTTTCGCGTCGCGCGCGCGACTTTCGACATTTCACTCTTTAACGGTACTTTCAAGGCAAATTCCCCAAAATTATGGGGTGTTTGCGGAGGTCCTTTTATACTTCATCGATGCCACAAAGCTCCAAAGTACGCTACGATACTTTAAGGTACGACAATTTATCCCAACGCCTGTATAGATATCACTCGGCAAAGCCATGAGCCACGGCCCGTACGGCCGATCCGACAAACAATATCTTTCCGATCAGTGCGAGGATCGAGGGATGCGCCATATTTTGGATGATCCACTGCCCGAGGGACGCCAGGAAGTACTTTCCATGCTCTGCTACCTGGAATTTTGGCTTCAAATTGAATCCAGGGGATTTTAAAGGTACCTGGAAGGTCTTGGGGCCGGCGACGAGGCAAAGCCAGAGTTCCGAGTAGAGGGCCGAGGCCATGAAAATGGGAGAGAGGTACATCAACACCTGAAATTTGTATTAGGTTTTTAGTTTCTTTTTCTTAAATGGTCTCTGCTAGATTGCCTGTTCTTCTATTCCATTAAATTGACGATTTTCATCTCTAGCCTGGAAATTCCTCAAAGGTTGGGCTCGCTTGCCCTTTTATTTAAATTGTTACAGAAAATATCTGTTTTTCACAGTTCCTCAAGGATCTCTGCTAGCCTACCTATACGTTCGATAAACACATTCCATGAGTTTGAAGTTTCCCCCAAACGCCTCTGCTAGCTCCCCCATGCCGATTTTCTACGCACGAAATTCCTCAAGGAAGTTTCCCAGCTCAAAACCCAGTACTGAAAACGCTACGAGAGGATACGCTCAAAACATACCGTATCAATGCTCTCCCAGGAAGCCGTCACTTCAACGGTTCGACTGGAGAATGAGATCAGAGCCGGGAGAGCCAGAGCCAAGGCCGTCAATCCACAATAGTACATCGTGAGGAGATCAAGCGATGGTGGACGGAGTTTTTGGGCCAATCTGAGGCTCATTTTGCAATCTCATGCTCAAAAACTACCTCCAGACGCTCAAAATCGAATAGGCTCTAGCCAGGGCCAACAATGGGGAACAGATGAAGCTGAAGAAGGTGTATTCCATTTGGCCGAATTCGAGCCATGAAAGGGAAGTAGCCAAACCGAGGAGGAGCTGGAACATCGGGGTTTTAAAGGAATTGAGAAGACAGGCTTCCCTATGGCTTTTTCCACGAGCTCGACACGCAACGTTCAAGTCCGCTTTTACGTTTCGTAATCAATTACGACCCTAAGATATTCACCAAATGCTTATTGGCCGGCTTCTCCTTGTCGCTCAACCCGAACTGCTTCCCCCAGTAGACGATGGCCACCGTTGTCATGACGTCAAAAATTCTGAATTTTAGGTTGCTTTCTAAACGCTGCTCATCTTACCGTAAGACATACAATCCGCCGGTCCGATTTTGGGAATGGACGATGGAGGAGAGGAACGTTTCGAGTACTTTTGCGGCCACCGGAATCGCGAATTCTTTGATTGGCAGGGGAGGGTGCTGAAAACGATTCGATGGAGCCAACTTTACAAGGGCAAGCAGGCAGAGATCATTTAGGAAAGAAAAATCAATATTTTTTAGGAAAATAGGCAAGCTAGCAGAATCCATTTGAGAATATCAAGCTCAAAAACCTTATGTAGCGAAAGGTAGACTAGCAGAGATTTTTTAGGAAAAATTCGCCGGAAATTCGAAGACAGGCTAGCAGAGACCATTGACGAAATCAATTTTCTTACAAAGTTAGCATGAACTCGATGGCTGGGGAAATTAGTAGCCTGGGCGAAACTGCAGACAACCACCCCCACCCCAATTTTCGTATCTCGGCTCCCTATTAATCTACCAAGCTGTAAAGTATACCAAAATACTCAGCAAACCAAGTCAAACATTTTGGTAAACTATACACCCCTGTAGCTAAACGGGGAGCCGAGATACAAGGCCCGGAAGGCTAAAATTTGCGTGGAAAATGAGCGACAATGAAGCAAATACCCTTGGGGAAGTGGTCACCGTGTACACCACGGCAGGCTAGCAAAGATTTTTGGGGAAAAAACACTTACCTTAGGAATAATGCCCGCCAACGAGAACAGGAACAAAAAAACGGCGGTCGAAGCATGGTGCATAAAATGGATGACTGGGGTGTGGATGTCGGAGGCGAAGAACAGAACGTTGTGGGCACCTGAATATAAATATTGTGGTAATTATTTTCAATTAACTGAACGGTTATCTAGGTGTCATTAAATCCGTTAAAATTGACTACCAGATAGAAAGAAGCCAGCCGACACATTGACGGCCCACCACAGGAACATGTCCTTTTTCGAGGCGAGCGGCCGACGCAGTTCTTTGTCTTCTGACATTCTGAAACAAACATAATTTTTAAAACCATTTTAAAGGGATGGTGCCAGCAAAAAATGACAAAAAATACCCAACCTCCGGAAAATCGTTAAAAAATTTGCATAGCTTCAAAATTCTTCCAACTTATCAATGGCAGCGAAACTATGGCAAACTTAAGGTGATAATTTCGTAGAAGTCTAGACCTAAGCAGTAAAGCAGAAAAAAATGGAAGATGTTTACGTCAAAAAATCGATACCCAAGAAGCCGCGCGGAGGCTTCAGAGGCCTGGGGCAGGAGGGCGCGTGAAAATCAGGGCTCCAGATCTACGCCGAGAATCGGGGCAGCGGATCTGGGTGGGGGGGCGCAGAACTGTCACCCACCGTCCAGCGGAACTTAACGGAGCCGGGGAGCGTAGGGGCAAAATTAAGGGTTTTTAAATGGATTTCAGGATTTTTGTAATTGTAAGGAGTTCTGTAGGGTAGCACATACTGCATGCTTTCGGAAATTTGGTATCGTACCGTGTTTGGTCAAAGTGCAAGGAGTACGTTAAAGTATCTCACATACTATCGCGTAAAGAGCACTGTAAAGTAGCTAGTAATTTAGCGTGCTAAAAAATTGCCGAAAATAGTACTGTAATCTACTGAGTACCGTAACGTACTGTAATCTATCGTTTACGATAGGGTCCTTGGTGTATAGAGCACTGTATCGTACCGTAATGTACTGAATACGATAGCGTATCGAGCACTGTAGCGTTCTGTAATGTACTGATTAACTTACGATATCGAATACTGCAGCGGACCGTTATGTACTGAGTACCCTAGCGTCGTACTAAGTACTGTAGCGAGAATCTACTACTGTAGCGCACTGTAAAAAATAACAACATTTATTCTCAACGCCTCAGATCAAAAAAAAATAACTCTAGAAAACTGAAATAAGGCAGATATTCAGCAATTTAAAATACCCTAAAAACACACTGACAGGGCAGCCAGCACAGATTATGGTGGAATTTGGCGGAGAGAGATGGATTCTTTGGGAATTGGGGAATATTCATCGGAAGATCATTGTTCGGACTAGAGGGAATGGTCTTTGTAGGCAAAAAAAAGACAAAGAAGATTAAAAAGTGAGAAATTATTGATTTTTACTCCGCCTATGAATTCGCCGGCGTCGCTCGTCCCACTCGTGCAGATATTCCTGCAAAAAAAGGATTTTTTCAGGACCAAAAAATTACAAAAATCAAAATTAAGGTGCTTTCACCTTATCGGGGGGAGGGGGTGGGAAATTTTTCGTTTGGTTCCAATTTTTCTAATAAAAATAGTGGACGTTTTTCTAAGCTGTTTGATACTTTCTTAAGCTTAAAAAATCAAATTTGTTGAAAAATACAAAAATTCCGATTTTCGAAATGATTTCAAAATTTTCCAACCTTTTTTAGATATTTAACAATGGAAATAGCATCAAATTTTACTAAAAAAACTACTAAAATACTTACTATGCTGATACTAGGCTTATAAAATCTATACAAAAATTTAGCCCCCCCCCCCCGATAATGCAAAAGAACCAAAATTTAGTAAATTTTAAAAAAAACTAAAAATACTATGGAAAACTAAAATCTATGGCAAATTCTAAATTAAATCTAGAAAATTATTTGAACTACAACTTTGTCCGATACCGTTCAGTTTAAAAAGTACCGTAACACTTCCTTTAAAAAAAATCAAAAAATCTCACCTCAAATTTGTCCTCGTTCAACTCGCGCCACTGGATGTTCACTTCTATATTCTCGTACAGTTGTCGCATTTTCATCTTGTTATTGTCCAGCTAAAAAAAGAAAGTTTTTCCCTGCCGTACTGTGGGTATTACTGTAATACCGTAAAGTATCCTACAGTAAGAAAAGGATCATCAAAATCACCTTTTTCGCCGCCAAAAACTCCTTCAACTCGTCGAGATCGTGGCGCGTGTTCGTCTTCTCGACAAGACCACGAATGCAGGCAAATAGTAAATTGCTGCCCGCGCCCAACCTAAGGCTAAAAAGTGACCCGGCTACCGTACACCCATACCGCTTCTCAAACTCGTCGTAGTTGATCTTGAAGAAGCGCCAGGCGGCCGTCCGGGACAGCTCGTTTTCGGCGAGGGCTGAGAAGGCGCGGTGGACGTTGTTTGCCTGAAATTGGAGAAATCTTGGTCCTATAGCTTACTAGTTTCCCTACAGCAACTACGGTATCCACACTAATTACCGTACCTTAATCGCACTCGGATCGAGGGTCATCCTCAAAAGTCGATGCACGAGTTTCGGGTCCTTCGTGGCGGCCAATCCCTCCATGAGGCTCTGCTTCTCATTCGGGGCTGTTGCTTTTTGGTATGCGGCGTAAGTCTAAAAATCGGCTGGCCTTCCAAGTCCCTTTAAAAAGTGCTCTAGCTACTGTAGCTTACCTTTTCCCAGGTGCCCGTATCTCCAGCTTTCACTCCTTCTTCGTATATGACGTTCTGGAGTTCGGGGGCTGCTCTGGAAGCGGGGATAAGTTTTGGGTCTCTCTCTATCTTGCTCTCGCTCTCTCTCTCTCTCTCTTCTCTCTCTCTCTCTCGCTCTCTCTCTCTCTTTCAAAACTCACTTCTTGCCCAGCACGGACCACTGGTTAAAGCGGATCACCGCCTGTTTCGCACAGTCGCCATGTCCAAGTCGACAAGCTAGCGTAAGGATTGTTTGGCGGAATCCGGTCCGCGAGGGGTCCTAAAGGAATATTAATTTCTCACTCTCGTCTCTCTGGACTCTCTCTCTCTCTCTCGCTCTCTCGCTTTCCTACCTTCTCATCCGAATCACTATCATCATCCTCATCATCGTCCCAATCGACCTCATCGTATATTTTAACGATCAGGGAACGTTGGAAGTCCTGAATATGAAAATTAGGCCACTAACAAAATTTAGAGAAGAGAAAGAGGTTGTTTCTTACCCGGAACAGATGCAAATAGTCGGTCTCACTCAGCAGATCCTCCAACTGCTTCAACTGCTGGTTGATGACTGACCAGGCCATACGGTCTCGCTCATCTGAAATTCTTGAGTAGGGGCTGGCTACCAGAGAGAATTCAGGAAAGAGCTCAAAAACCCGTACCCTTGGCATACTGTATCAAGTCCATATACGTCGAGACGTCGAGCAGTCCGACCTTGGTGAAGTCGAAGGCATCAGTGATCAGCATCGTACGGTCGATGGCTGAGATTTCCTAAAATCTGGCTATCGTTAAATGTTACAGTAACACAGATTACGGAGACGCTTGTCCTAAAAGCTTAATTTTAATTAAAGGCGCGCTGAAGGCAAAATCTATTGCAAAAATTTCAAATTGCTTTTTTGAACTTTTAGGCGAATTTGAGCCGTTTTTTGACTTGCCGGACTCTTTAAAATCAAAAAGCCTTTGATATCCTACCGTATGATCACCTTCCAACTGCTTGCCAAGCTCCTTGTAGATCTTCCTGTCGTAGAGCACTTTGAAATACCCGACACCACCCGTATTCGCGATCACCCATTTGGCTGGGGAGTCGAGGCGCCAGTGCACTGGAATGGAGGACGAGGTAATTGCAATATTCAGCTCCTGTTCCTCAGCTCTTGCTCCCCCGCTCCATCCCAACGAATCCCTGCTAGCCTGCCCTACCTTTCTGCTCCCCAGGCCTCAACCACTTGAGCTGCGCCTCATCCTTCTCATCAGTTCTAATATGGACTGGGATTGGCCACTCGAGATCATCCTCGTCCTCATCGTCATTGTTGAACAGGAAGCGGGTCTGGAAGGAGCATGAGGTACGGTAGTTAGGGCAGGTTTTAGAAAATGGTGATACGGTAATTAGGGTAGCTACCTGGTTATGGACTAGGATTTCCTCGTCGTTGTTGACCAAGCCGATTTGCACCAATGGGTAGCCGACCTGAAGTCGGTTTTAAAGGGGCAGTGAAGCCTAGAAGAGAGATAGAGAGAGAGAAGAGAGAGAGTGAGAAAGAGTGAGAAAGAGAGAAAGGCAGAGAGAGTTAGAGAGAGAGAGAGTGAGAAAGAGAGAAAGACAGAGAGAGAGAGAGGGAGAGAAAGAGAGAGAGCGAGAGAGGTAATACCCACCTGAGTTGTAAAAGCCTCCGCCAAATTCTCGATGGTAACCCCATGAGGAAGTGATGCGTGCTAAATAACACCCAATCTCTACCGTAACCCTCGAAATACCTTCTCAACCACCCTCCACAACTCTTCCCCCTTGGCGTTGTCGTATTTGTACTTGTTGAGGTACTCGATCAGAGCCTGAAAATTTGGTACGTAGCAGCGATTCTTTAGGATTCCACTTACCTTCTGGAAATACCATTCCCCGGCGAGACCTTGGAGCATGTGGATGATGGCGGCGGCCTAGAGCAAAAAAAGGTATTTTCTGAACGTCTAGAAGTCGTCAGGTGTATCGGATCGCAATGATTTTTGGAGGAGTAAAGCTCTTGAAAAGGAAAACAAAGCTATGGCCTTTATCTGGATCCTAGGCCTCGCAGCAACCGATTTTCAAAGAGAAATTTGCTAATTTTGACACTTTTTGTATCAGAAAATTTTTTTAAGACCCGAAAAATGCAGAATTTCGAAAATTGAGCATGAGCATTCAACGCCCTTTTTATGATCTTGCGAATGGTGCCAAAACAGCCTCAATCGCATACTTCTTTCTGTGGCTAGAAGCCGTAGAATATCCACCGACCTTATGGTAAGAAATCGCGTCGAAAAGTGACATGATATTAGTTGTATTTTGGAGTCCAGCGTTGATCGGGCGAGACGACGTCAAGCCGTCCGGGTCCATAGCCGAGCCCGAGTTTTCGGCGTAGAAACGGGTCATCTGGAATTGTAGAGAACTTTTTAAAGGGAGCATGAACTCTGGATCAGAGCCTTAAGAACGATTAAAAAGTTTAAAAACGCAATTTTCATTAAAAAGCGTAAAAATAAATGTTAATGGTTAATAAAAATTATTTAATCACATTTAATCAATTAAATCGAGGTAAATGTATTAAAAATCCGTTTAGAAACTAACGAAATTATGGTAAAACTTTGTGTTTTTATATAACATCAAAGTTTAAACGTTGAAACTGAAAAGAAGGTAATAAAACGCATAAATATAATTAATTCTAAATACAAATATTATATTCAAAAAGGTTCAAATTTAATCATTTAAACCCACAATATTCCACGACGGGAACAAGTGATCGACACATCGATACTCCATATAATTCGCGAATCCCTCGTTCAGCCACAAATCATTCCACCAATCCATCGTCACCAGGTTCCCGAACCACTAAATTTCACCCTACACCGTGCCCCAACTACCGTACCTGATGCGCGATCTCATGGCAAATGACCAAGGCGATGTGCTCCTTGTTGAGCGTGCTGCACGTCTCCTCGTTGTAGAGCAGGGCTGAGTCTCTAAAAAATTAAGGAAATGACGTCATTTTAAAGGCGGCTACAAGTCAAACAGATCCATAAGAGATCCTAAAATCTATGGGCAAGCTAGCAAAGATCCTTTGGGAAATAAATACTTTCTCCAAAAAATGTCTGCATCAAATATAGCATTTTGAAGGTGTCAACAAGCAAAAATGCTGAATACGCTGTCGGCAAACCAGCAGAGATCTATGAGGAATCAAAAAAAAAAAAAAACTACGAGTCTCAAAAAAGATATAGGTTTTGAAAGGTATAGGTTTAAACAAGCCTAAAAATTCATAGTAATGTTGAAAAACTGGGGGCAAACATCAGAGATCTTTTAGGAAATAAAAACGCTTTCTCTAAAAAAATTACGTGTTAAAAAATATAACACTTTAAAGGTAGGGCCCTACAACCTAAAAATCTATCAAAATCCTGAGAGAAAAAAATGGGGCAGGCTAGCCGGGAAAAGTGAGGAAATTAAATGTCGGCATTAGTAAGTAAGATTTTAAGCCAAAAAAGCCAACTCTTCCTAATTTCTGCTCTGCTTTTCTGAATTTCAAAAGGGACTCGCCAGTGAAAAATTCATAGATATTTTGCAAAATCCAGGGGCAAGCTAGCAGCGATCCTTATGAGATTTAATACCAACCTAAACGTGACCAATCCCCAGTTTTCCATGGCGCCCTCAGCAAAGTCGTCAAGGGCAAGAAGGTCTAAAATACATAAAATTATTTTCATGCCTTTTAGAAATTTTTAGATCACAAAAATTGATGCATTAATGAAACTTGCCGACTTTCTCGAGAGGGTAAGAAATATTAAAGTAATCTTCAAAATATTCTAGCGCTCGAACGGCAACATCTAGGCCGAAATCGGCTTGGCCCTTCAGGACGTCACGAGGGGCGTAGAGACGGACCTGAAAGGGATATGGTAGAGAGAGAGAGAGAGAGAGAGAGAGAGAGAGAGAGAGAGATTTTCTAACCTCAATCGGCTCCTGCGTCGACTTTGTCAACCGCTTCATATAATCGTAATTGTCGAGCACGGCCACCGCCAGAAGATACGTCGACATTTTTACGCTACGCTCGAAAACATCGATGTAGAGGCTGTAAAAAACTTAATAAAATTTATATACCTCGTTAAAGGGTTCTGAAGGCTACAAGGTTATCTCAAAGTATCGAAAAATTAATTTTGCCGACTTTTTAAACTAAATTTTCGGCTAAAAACAGCTTGCAGCCTTCAAAATCCCTATAAAAAATCGGGAGAGATGGTTTTATGTAATTTTTAGGGTATTTTAGCGATATAATAAAGCATTAATGTGAGGCGGGGGTCGGACCGACAAAAAAAGTGCATGGTAAGTGCCTGTCATTCGAGAATCTCCACCCGTCCTCGGCGCGCTCGCGGCTCACGCGCAGGTTCATGTTGCTGCGCGTGACGTAGTGAGGGCCGCGGACGACGGAGAGCTAAAAATATTACTTTAGTAAAAAATAACTAAATTAAAACTATAATGAATCATTAAATAGACTCAAACAAATTTTTCATGGCCCTAAAAATTACCTGGAAAGTAGCTTTCATATTTGGCTCGTCGAAACACGGAAAAGCCTTCCGGGCGTGGGTTGGCTCGAATTGGGACGCGACTGATTTCCTAAACAACGCGGTGTGTCCAGCTACGCTATAAAAAGTATCGATCGGCGCATTAATAGGCCAAATTATGCTCAATTAAACAACCCTACCAGCTCCTCCCCTTCACATCGTGATGCGTGCTGATGTACAACCCATGCATGTCGGCCAACACTTTCCCGTCGTACTCCATTCCGAGAACAACCTATTTACGGATGTATTTATCCTTTTATTTAATGTATCAAAATGCGTTGAAGTATTTCAATCTTTAGATTTGATTAAAATTAAAGAAACTCGCCTCATCGTCCTCCTCTATCGGATTCTCGAGCGTGAATGCCCATTGCTGGAGCAGGTTGCAGGAGGTCTGAAAAAACGCTTTGAATGCGCTAAATTCCATTTTGCTACCATTTACGAATCGTAAAAAATCCCAAATTGTCTCTGCTAGCTTGCCAAGATTTTTGGGTATTTTGAAATTTCTAAGGTTTCTAAGCTTTTTAAAGCTCTCAAAAAATTTAACACGGAAGCTTCCCGCTTTTCATAAATTTACCTAGCACGGAATAGATTCAGCGACATAACACTACTCACTACGGTCTGCAAAACATCGTAAACGTTGTTTGCTACTCGGTTAGTAAAGCGCCCGCGGGCGCGCCCGAAATTGCGCCCGCGGGCGCGCTCACGGGCGCGCCCTCGGGCGCAATGGCCAAAAGCGCCCGCGGGCGCGCCCGAAACTCGAAAGCGCCCGCGGGCGCGCCCCAATCGCGTTGTAACGGCGTAGGACGGGTTCTTTTAATGCTTTTATTATTTAAAAAAGGGCACTACATCGCTTTTGTCGATGCTGTACCCTATACTTCATGTAGATCTTCACGTTCCCTGAGAAATTGGTTGTATTGCGCACCTGAAATATGTTTTTTTTTGCTTTCTTGGCTTTAGCTTCGTTTGGAACTTACAGATACGTTCCAATGCGCGATAGACGGCCCCTAAAAAGAGTAGCTAATTACCTAATTTCTTTTATAAACTTCGTAATTCGCACTTACTTTCTTCCCGCTTCCTGAAAACTTGCTCTGATTTGCTTCTTGCCGACTTACTTTGCAACTCCGCCCAGAGATACCGGAAACGTCGCGCTTCCCATTTGCAATGATGACCATGATCGTCTGAATGGTTGGCTTATATAAATCGAGAATCTATAAATCTAAATCTAAAGTATGTTTAAAGTTTTTTGAAGGGGCTGGTTGCGTAGCAAACTTTACCTCTTCCTGCCCCATGGCGCTTCAAAGTATCGTATTCTACATTCGACGACCATAACCAAGCGAACCTAGTAACGTATTTGTTAATTTATATATGTTTTGAACATAAATAAGTGCATCTTCCAGGAACTTAGCCGTTTTTTCGCAGAATTGAAAGGTGTTCACCATTCAAATGCGCCCGCGGGCGCCCCTAGTTGCGCCCATGGGCGCTTTTTGCGCCCGGGGCGGTTTTGCGCCCTTTTGCAAAAATTGCGCCCGGGGCGCAAAAGGGTCCAGTTCGGGCGCGCTCGCGGGCGCTTTGGGTTTTCGGGCGCGCCCGCGGGCGCTTTGCTAACCGAGTAGCTTACAAAAGGCTCTAAAACTCACGTGTTCTGCATCAACCTTCTTGTTGTTAACATTAATGTAGAATGATGACAAATTCAGGCGACTCGCGTGCAGCACGATGACTGATGTTTGGTTTGTCACCTAAATTTTAGTAAAAATCAATGAGAAAACGTGCAAAAATACCCTCAAATCGATCGTGACCTGGCCGGTGAGCGTTTGGTCTTCAATATCCGGGTGGATCGTTATATTATAATGTTCTGGGACGACGTCAATAGGCAGCCGTATTTCATCCCTAAAATGTGGATAGTCTATCGTAAAATCTAGAATTTTAACGCTATAACTACAGGGTGTCCCAAAAAAAACGAACCATCTGGCATTTCGCCGTGTTACATTCAATCGGCCCCAAATTTGGGTTAGAGGTGTATCAGACCCTAAATAACAACAATCCTGAGTTATAGCCCCGTAGCTACAGTCGTTCTCGAGTTATAACGAAAATACTGTTTTTCAGAGAATTCTGAACAGTTTTTCGTGCATTCCCTTGGACTTTACATCGAATTTATGCACTTCCTCCCGGCTAAGAAACCCTAATTTCGCTTAAGAACTTAGGTAATTTTGCGTTGTAAAAATCGCTTAAATCAAAGCTTATTTAATTAATTTTACTCTGGAAAAAATTTCTTAAGGTAATATTAGGTTCCTACCGGATCAATTTGACTTGATGTATAGGGGGTCTAATTCCCCGAAAACCCTGTGAAAAATGGAAAATAAAGTTTGTTTTTGGCATAACTCGAGAACGACTGTCGCTACGGGGCTATAACTCAGGATTGTTGTTATTTAGGGTCTGATACACCTCTGGTCCAAATCTGGGGCCGATTGGATGTAACACCGCGAAATGCCAGATGGTTCGTTTTTTTTGGGACACCCTGTATAACTCCAGCTTACATCAAAGCTTAAATTACGCCATTTTACCATGGAAAATCGGGACAGTCCTGCTCTACTCGATTCTCAAAATCCTCGTCCGATGAATCGCCGTCGTCGTCAGCATCGCCGATGCTCAACTAAAGCAAAATAAAACAAAAAACAACTAATGGAATTTTATCAAATAAGCTATATTTTATTAAAGAATTATTAAACTAAAATTAAGGTAGCACCATAAACCGCTTACCAATTCCGAAAAGGCTCCAGGCGTAAGGTACGTGTAGACGGCAACTCCAATCGCCACGCCCAGCAAAAACATCACACCAGCCACCGCGCATATCGCGGCACATCCAGTGGATTTTCGTCGATTATGCGGCAGGCGTGGGTCGTTCCAGACTAAAAAAGGTGTTAAACTTTACAAAAAAAATGTAATAAAATGCAAAAATACGATTTCCTACTAAAAATGCTCAATTCTCGACCGAAATGTCAAAACTTTAGACAATTTTTAGCATTTTCAAAATCGTTTCTCCACTCTAAATTTGACAAAATTGTACTAGAAAGACTATTGCACAACTTGCTATGGTTTTACTATACTTATATGGACGGATAAGAAAAATTCGGTATTGAAAACTTTGGGACGAACCATGATCTGCCGGCGATGCGAGCTTGTTCTCCTCGTTCGTCTCGTCGACCAACAACTTGACGGTGGTCGGGGTCGGCATTTCGAAAAAGGGAGACCCGTCGGAGAGGAGCAACGGCCGGTGGTGCTTGTATGTTCAGCACCGGCTCGTAAACTACCTAGAAATGAGGAATTTCGATGTGCTTTTGCGGTCTAGTTGAGACAAAAATGGCGCCAGGACAAGAGCTTTATTGAGGATTTACACTTTTTCGGTGAAAATATCGAGTCAACTCCTTTTCAGCAAGAACATTTTCAAGAAGTTCAGCTACAGCAAACAGTGCCCAGATTTTGTCGATTCAGTAAATTTAGCATCGAACTGCACGGGGGGTGCAGCTGGCCCGGCCGGGATTGTTTCAATTGGGGGGAACACCTCGAGTGTCTCGCGGATCAGATTTCGATGAGTAAGATGGGTGGAATGTGGGTTTGAGGACTTGGATCTGGAGCTGCAATAGGTTTGGACAGCAAAAGTTGGGATTAGATCATAGCCCAACAAAATTCGGTGCTTTTTCATTATCGGGGGGGGCTTCATCGGGGAGGGAAGCATACCATATTTTTGATTCATATAAAAAAAGTTTATCTAAAAGAGGCATTTTTTTACCTTTTCTAAACCGCAGAACTTTATAAATTTCCATAAAAAGTCAGAAAATCGATAAACCCAGATAAACTATCCCCCCTTGATAATGCAATAGGTCCCAAAAACATACTCATGCCTTCAGGTTCCTATAAATGTAGGGAACCTCTAAAAAATTCACATAAAATAAATGAACATACATAGAAATTTTCGGAAGCAAAAACCTCTTAAAATGTCGATATCTTGAAGTCATGGTAGAGAATTTATCCATTTTTATGTATTAGTTTATATCGGTCTAATAGCGGGCAAAACAAGCCTCAAACCGTCGGTTCAAAGTTGTCGCTTGTTTGAACGAACCTTTCCCAACATCAGGAACAAGTCAAACAGAAACAATCTAGAGACAGAAAGAAAGAGACTGGTCAAATTGCGATACCCCCACCACAGGAAAATCAGGGGGGGCAAACGGCCATCAAAAAAACCGAAAGAAAAGGGCGCGCCTACACGCGACCCAGGGCGCGGGGGGGGTTCTGCGAGCACATGTTTCTCGCTGATCCCCGTGCCACTTTTGATCAATTTACGGCCCTGGCGACCACATCCACCCCACACTTACAAAAAGCAGGGTTTGGATGCGCGCTCGGGAAACTTTATGAGCACCAGCTCGGGCTCGGGCTCAGGTTTGACCCCCTGGAAGTAAGGTGGGGCCTTTTTAAAGGGTCGTGAAGGCAGGTGATTTTAATAGTGTTTTTAGTAAACGGTAACTAGATTCAACTTGGCAAAACAAAATTAAAAGAAATGGAAAAATGCTGGTTGAAATTTTGATCGAAAATCGATTATTTTTGTCGAAAAATCTATATTTTTGTACTTTTAATAGACCATGAGAATTACGGGGTTCTTTTGCATTAACGGGGGAGGCGACTTTTTCATAGGTCCAGAAATGCGTAGTAATATTATAGCAAGTCTTTTAATCATGTTTTAGTAAAATTTAACTGCTTTTCAAGTGAAAAACTTTTTTTAAAAATATTTTCGGCGCATTTTTGTTGAAATCTTTGTGTTTTTTTATGATAGGCCGTTTGGAGTGACGCCTCGACACTCATCCAATGAGGGTATAATACACACGCTTCCTGGCCCCTTTAAAAAAGTAAACGGCTGAATTTTGGAATTTTGGAGACGGAATCGGGCTAAAAGTGCCCTTACAACCCGTGAGGTAAAAGCGTCAAGACCTAGCCGACTCCCCAAAAGAACATGGCAATTTAAAAAATTGTCCCCGGTGTTGCTGGGATTTTGCTCTCTCTCTCCCATGCGGAAAATTGATTCGGTTCCCCGACCACCACGCAGACCCCTCGGGGACAATAAGCACAAACACCTGCTAATTGCTCGTTTTTGGAATATCCGAAAACCAGCGTATTTTTTAAATTTATTAGATTTTATCAGGGCTTTTCCGATACGATAGACGGTGCGCCAAGGTATAATTTTGGAAAGATATAATACCTCCTTTGGACTTGCTAGTAATCCAAAGGGTTCATCCTTGTCTCAGAATTTACATTATTATTCTTTAAACTTCTTTATTTTATTTTTTTACTAAAATTTTCACTATTTTTTGTCGTGGGGCCCTTTCCCGTTTGCTATAGCGTGTCAGCGCACGAAAGTGACCGTAGTTGGGCCCTTCAAAGGGTAGGCGGCTGCAAAGAATCGGTCAATCCCCAAAAGCGGCTCAGAAAACTTGAAGCTTTTCCAACTAGCCGGCCATCGAATCACCTATCGAATTTTATTATTATTCTCTATAGAAGGCTGAAATCTGAAGTTAAATAGCGATCTATTTGCCGTAGGAACAGCTGAAAGAATCTCCAAAAAACGTCAGACAGTTTGCCCAAAGCCGATGAAGGAAACTAAGGCTTTTCTAAACGATAACTTTACTTTTTCTTTTTCCTTTTCCTTTTTTTCCCATCCGGTCGCGGGTTTTAAAGCTATCTTATTGCCGACAAAGTTATCTGTTTCTTAGGAAAAACTCAAATAATCTCCAAAAACGTCACGTCTAGCAGTTTTTTACGTGCATCTAAAACGTAGCTCAGCGTCTATAGTAAATCCCACGTAAAACTACGCTGAAGCTTGTGGCACGAACATGTAAAATACACCCTTTGAGAAAGTCCGCAGTGAGCGGCACCGCTGGACCGCCAAACTTCTTGTAACTCCAAGAAAAAGTAGCCAGCGTTCGGCGGGGAAACCCCAGCCCGAGCGGTTGCGAGGTGTCAAACCCGAACACACAGCGGGTCAGGGTTCGCTGAAAATTGGCCGGCTAGGAGTAGGTGGGTGAGGGACGAGGCTTCTGTTTGACGGGGAGACCGAGGTGGGGGCCCGCAATGCCGTCGGCTGCCTGTTTGCACAACGTCTTCCGCGCTTCGGTAATCCGCACGGTTGGCTTTTGGCGAGTTACCGGCAACTCCCGGTCGACTGCAATTAGCATTTTCATGGGGGAAAAGCTCAAACTTGAAGCGTCAAGGTCCTTTTTTCCAGATATTGAAGGCTAGGTGCGTGAAAGAAGGGAGGAATATTTATAGTCTGTCCTGGCCCAAGATTTCTGAGCATGAGCTAAATATAAAATTGAAGGTGAAAATTAGGGGATCTATTCAACAGAGCATTCTAAACTCAGGTGGATTGCGAGTTAGCGCGAGTTCAAAAGCCATAAAAAAATTACTGTTCGTTCGCAACACGCGTTTTTCCAAATTCCCCGCGCCAAAAAGCAAAAAAATGCACCGCCAAAAGCCGGTCAAGCAAATGAACTCCTCCGCCGCCGCCCCTCAGCCGGATTAGCTCATTTCTCGCAGTTTAAGCAATGTTTACCTTTCTGACCACCGCTAATCCCTTCACATTTTTCCTCTTCCGTTTACTTGTGAAATGTGGGGGAACCTCCGAAAATCGGCAATTTAGGTCCGAAGTGATGGACCAGCAGCAATGGAGTCAATATCAGAATATGGCTCATGGAGATGGTTGGTGGTCAAAGCTATGATTATATTGTTTATTTAGTAAACTGGGCACAACTGGCGCAGCAATGGGTGGCAATGAAGTCTGATGAGCCCCCGCCGCGGCATCCTGGAAATGGTATATTTTTAACATTTGATACATGTTTTATCCTATCTTTAAGCAAGAAATGCCTTGTGAAATGCCGATTTTCAGGAGCTCCTCGATCCTTGTTCGCGTCGGTCAGCAGCAATGAGACGTTCCAAAATCGCGTTCCACCTCCGCAACATCATCCTCCTCCGCCGCCACCTCAAAACCAGTGGGAAGCAGGGCCGCGCGGTCCCTACGGACACCAACCCTACCCACCAGCGCCGCCATTTCATCGGCCTCGTAAGCTTTGTTGAAATATAGAAAAATTCATCACGACGCAGAATCTACGTATTTAAAATTATTTTCCAGCTGCCGGAATGGTACCACCTCCTCCGATGAATGGATACGGACGCGGCGGACCGTTTCCCCCTCCCCCACACCCGCCAGGGCCTGGAAATCTACAATGGCCACCCGGCTTCCATCCACCCCCACCGCCACGAAATCATGGCCCCGTTCCCACACCTCCTCCGATGGATCGAGGTAAAGGAAATTGGCCTGATTTACCGTGATTTTCTAGCCTTCCATCACCCGAATGAATACGGCGACTTCCGAGAGCCCGCCCGAGGAGGCGGATGGCGTGATGACTACGATGGCCCGATGGCTGCCCCGCCGATTTGGCCCCCACCCGACGATTGGGTCCCGCCATCATACCCTGAGCCTCAACCTCCTGGACCACCGCCGAATCGGTTTCCGCCGGGGCCGCCGCCCCCCAAATGCTAGGTGAGTTCCTGACATTTTCAAAGCATTGCGATGGCTTTAGTACGATTAAGTATTTTCCAAATTGTTTCTGAAAAGCCTCAACAAAGAAAAACCCCGTTCCTAGTTATTGTATTCCCGCATAATTAGCGCCTCGGAATCAGCGACGTATCGGAGATGAAAATGGACTATAAAAAAATTCCAGCTGGGAAGTTATCCTGTTAGACAAAACCGAGAATAGGCAGAAACTGCAATCTGACTACAATCTGCAGAACCGGAACAAGATTAAATATTTTCGTGGACTTATAACACACTTTTCCAGAGGAGGCCCGGTTCCACTGATGCAGCAACACTTCCAACCACCAGGTCCAGGCTATGGAGGCCCACCGGGACCTGGTTTTCCACCACCAATGGACCGTGGACGGGGCATCCCGCCGCCTGGCCACGGCTTCCCACCCCAACAACCTTTCGAACAACCAATGTTCCCCGGGATCTCAGCCGGTAGATTATTAGCACAAAAATCGACATTTCTTTTTAGAACAACGCAAAAAACTCCCCGCCTGGATCTTGGAAGGACTGGAGAAGGCCGAACGCGAGAAACAGAAGCAACAGGAAAAAGAGGAAAAGCTGAAGCTCGCCGAGGAGGCGAAAGCCAGAAAACGGGCTTTGGCTGGAAAGAGCAAATTTGTGGGTTGTATAATCTAAATGTTTACTGTTTTTTTAGGACTCTAGTTCAGAAGAAGATGGCGACGATGAAGAGGAGGCTGATAAGGCGTCAGGTATTTCCCAAGAACTTTCACCACTTTTCATTTAGTTAGCAGCTGCAGCCCGAATGAACTGGACGGGGAACCGATTTTTCTGGCCAATCGAAGAACGTCGAACGAGCGCTCGAAATATGATTCTGACGAGGACGATGATGTGGAGATTCCACCAACTCCAAGAGAACAGGTTTGGTCTCCCAAAAATCGAAATAAATGTGTTTTCAGAAAAAATCACCCACTCCACCCCCACCTCCTGCCCCCGGAAAGAAGCTGGAAAAAGTGGAGCTGAAAACGGATCGATTACTTAGCGACGACTACGACGAGGATGAACCAGGTTTTTGTGGTCTTTCTCTAGGATTTTCCACTGCCAATTATTTGGTGGTCTTTGTTGTCTAACGGTGATTTCCAGCAAAAAGTAAAATCATCGTAAAGACCTCTGCACTTGCCGCTCTCGCCGCATTTGGTGGGTTTTTTCGTTTTTAAGATTTGCGGCATTTCCGTGGTCTGGCGCATTACTTGGCGAAGTTGATGGTATTCAAAAACCGCTGCTTTTTTGTTTTTCTCGCGAGAGATCAACAACGGCGTCTCCATCAAGTTCGGGTCGCTCGGTGCTGGCAGGATATCTGACCAAAGCATTTCATTCAGGACCTTATTAGTTTCTTTTCGCCGCTCGCCATTCTTGTAATAAGTTCCTAAAATAATGCGAAACACAAACGTTCTTTTCCATTGACCTTGAGGAGTTCACGCCCGTTTTTGGCATTTTTCAATCCACCCTTTTGCTTCCAAAAAGCGTAGAAACAGTGCCTCCGTCGAGCTCGAGCAGTTCGGACCAAGCTTTCGCCTAACGCAGCTCTTCAAAAGCTGATTCTTGCCCTCAAACCATCCCCTGGTGCAGGTAGCAGCGACGAGAGCGAAGGAGAGGCGGAAGACGGCAATGGCGATGGCGATGCTAATGGTCCTCCACCTGCTGTCGACGATGCTGTTTTCAAAGTGCCATTGGGTTTCCCAATGCGTAAGAGTAAGCCCACTGATCCTCCAGTGAAGCCCCAACTCCCGCAAGGTACGTGTCGGTAGTTTTTCGTATAAGCGGAAGTTTTTTGAATTTTTATTTTCACCTCATTTGATGAGATGCGGTCCCATTCGCACTGTGGTGCCTTGGCGCCGAATTAGGCAAAATGGGTAGACACCTTTAATTGTCGTTTTTCAGGCGATAGCGAGGCGAAAAAGGAGGACAATGGTACGGATGCTGATGGTTCCACTAAAGGTCAGTTTTTAAACTGGTTTCACAACGCTTTTTAGTAGATAAACCTGAAGCTGCAGGCTCGACAAAGGATGAGGGCCGGAAACGGAAGCGTAGTCGAAGTCGTGAGCGCGATAAGAAGCGTTCAGAGAAAGACAAGAGCAAGTTGAAAGACTCCCAGTCGTCTGACAAATCGCCAAAAAGGTAACGATAATTTTTCTAAATATCTGACGTTATGTCGACTAACATTTTTCAAGCGTCAAACTACTAATTTTTTATATATTTTGAACTTTCATTTTGAGAGACTAGACGTAATAAAACCCAATTAATTCCAGAAAGCGGTCCAAGTCGCGTGAAAGAAAACGATCAAAGAGTCGGGAACGCAAGCGAAGCCCCGCCAGGGAACGAAAACGCAGCCGCTCCCGGGATAGGGAAAGAAAGCGAAGTCGCTCGAAAGAAAGGTTGGTTTTGCGCTTCAAAGGTATACTTGTAATTTGTATTTCCAGGGAACGCCGTCGATCTCGATCCCGGGAGCGTCGCCGTTCAAGGAGTCGCGAGCGTGATCGTCGCTAATTTCAGTACTTAATTCTTTGTATGCTTGATCCGTCGTTATTCGTTTCCCATTTTATCCCGGGTCATTAGGCGTGTGATGCTGTTGAATAAAGTCTTCTTTTATTTGTATTAGCAGAATGTGGCAGACGATTCAGAAGCGAATAGATACAGATATCGGGCTGCATCGGAAAGCGTTACGCCAGGTTTTGAAATGTCGATAGGAATCGTGCGTCGCGCTCTCGGCTTCATCCGGCAACTGACACCATATCCCATTTCCGGACCAAAAATAAAAATATTCTAGTAGCGCATGCCGGGACGCTTGCGCCGAGTGACCGTCTATGAAACTGGCACCAAGTTTTACATTGTCGGCAGCGATTATAGCCGGAAGAAGTTCAATTTGCTGAAGATAGATCGGTATATAGTTATCTTTTCCTTCAAAACGAGCTGTCCAGGTTGGAATCGAAGGTCCTACTCACCGGCGAGCCAGAAAATGACTACACCGAAGCGGAAATTATGGAATTATTGGCCACCGTGTCCGAGGGAAGCTCGAGTATGTGTGTATTGAAAGCAACATTTCGATCTATAGTTGTACAACGCGGATCGAACGGCCGTCGGCAACAAGTCGTTAGTGGGATCATAGCCCGCGTACCAAATGCTTATGGAATCCTCGGAGTCGTCCGATTCACGGAGGGATACTATCTTATCGTAACGTATTCAAGATCTTCTGGAATTGGTTTATCTAGGTCATCACAAAGGCAATGATTGTGGCACAAGTCGGCTACCATTCCATCTACAAAATCGCTGAGGTCGCGTTGATTAGCATAGGCGAGCATTCGTTAGCTTTTTCTTTAAAAGAGTTTAGCGGTCGATGGTCTTCTACCGAACAGCGCCGAAGAGCAGCGGTACGTGAAAATATTCCAATCTGTGGATTTGTCGACGGATTTCTATTTTTCCTATACCTACGATTTGTCCAGGAGCTTACAGGTAGTAAATCTGGCTAGAAATTGATGGGCTTTTTTAGGAAAATTATCTATCGAGCGATTGGAAGAAGGGTGGCTTTAAGAAGAGCTCAGCGGATACGAGGTCGGTCGATTCGGCGGTCGAACTATTTTGTTTAGATTCGTTTGGAATGGGTTCCTGCTCGAGCCATTGCGCCAGAACGCTATCAGCGAGCGATGGATGGTGGAAGTAATTCACGGATTTGTCGGTGTGTTTTAGAAAAGTATTTTTTGGAGCAACCCGGGATTTTTTTAGCCCAACAACTTGTCGAGCTACCACTCACGCAACTTTCATTGATCCTGGTTGGCCGGCGATCAGCTCGGTATGCTGGAACGAGATTCTTGAAGCGAGGCGCTAATCTGAAAGGTTTTTTTATTTGGCATCTCCTTTAATGAAAGTGAAGGTGATGTGGCAAACGATGTGGAGACCGAGCAAATCATCTGGGATCGCGGCGCGCCACAGAGCTGGAAAGACGGCCGTTTTACGGCATTTGTACAGAGGAGGGGATCGGTTCCGTTGAGGTAAAAAAAAGCGTATACGGTAAAAATATCATCTCTAGATGGTCCCAAGACCCCTCAACCCGAGGCGTTGTCGGAAAACCCTTGATAATGATAGACATCCACGAACCGCATGCCCAGACCGCTGGCGCTCATTTTCGGTAAACAAGTTCGTAATTCCCACTAAAGTGTTCACATTTCAGCGAGCTGTTGAAAAAATATGGAGCACCCATCGTCGTCTACAATCTCGTGAAAAGGCGTGAGAAGCGACGTCACGAATCTCTACTTCACGAACAATTTTTGAGGGTATAAATTGCAACTCCTAAATATACCCCCAATTTTAGACGGTAAATTATCTGAACCAATTTTTGCCTGACGAAGAGCAAATTGCATACGTGGCTTTCGATGTGGCAAGGTGCAATAAGGTAGAGTATTTCGAAGCCTTTAGAATTTTCATTTTTAGAGCCCTGATATGAACGTGCTGTCGATGCTGAACGATACGGCGATGAGGGCCGTATTGGCCCATGGATGGTTCCAAACTTTCAAAATCCCACATCGACAAGAGCTGAATCCGCGGGATGTCTTCCGAAACTTTCAGTAGGAAAATACGACTTCGAAAGGATCATCGAAATCTAGACCAAAATACGTCGATCCGGGCGTGATGCTGCAACGTGGGATTTCGCGCACAAATTGTGTCGATTGTCTTGATCGAACGAATGTGGCTCAATTTGCAATAGGTTTAAAAAAATTTTAAAGCAATATTAACGGCTTTTGCAGGAAAAGCCGCGCTGGCTTGTCAGCTTTTCGGCATGGGGCTTTTGGACGAGCCGTTCGTTGACCTGTCAAGCGAGCTCTGCCGTGCGTTTGAGGAACTCTACGACTCGCATGGAGACACCCTGGCTTGGCAGTATGCTGGCAGTCAATTGGTCCACTCGATAAAAACTTATAAAAAGACGGCGGCTTTACAGGTTTCTTCAAAATTACAAACCTAAACTTTACTTGACTTCCAGGAACGTTCCCGTGACGTCCTGCAAACCCTCTCGCGATATTACAGCAACACGTTTGGGGATTACGATAAACAAGCGGCAATCAACTTGTTCCTGGGCATTTTCAGGTGAGAATCCTTCCTCCTTACAGAATTTGATCGATTTTTAGACCTCAAATTTCTTGCCGATCAACCCTCTGGGAATTGACGTCCGACTACTATCTCCATTTCCCGACTAACCGACGGGTCTTGACGGACTATTGCGCCTGGATGTATGATACAGAGGAACTCGAAAAAATACTGGAGGTTTATCATTGGCTTGTCGCGTCGAAATTTTTTTAGGAATACGAAATAATCGACGATGGGGCTCCTCCAAAAGCGAAGGGCGGGGATGAAGCCCCAACCGATCCAATCGCCGTGTACTCGATAGTTTGCACAAATTCGGAAACCGAGTTCGACGTCTTCCACCGAGCCTTTGAGCTCGAACCGCTGGAAAATAAGAAGAACCAGGTATATCGATATGTAGCTAAATTTTAGCGCTTTTAGAAAGCCTACTTTGAGACGAAGAAAATTACGATTGGTGGGGTCAATGACCCAGTAGCGTCCACTGGAATGTTTTGGACGAAGGGAAAGGTGAGAGTTTAGAAAAAAAAACGTATTTTCTATATCATTCCGGTATTTTATAAAACGACTCCATTACAGTCCGAAGGCAGTCCGGTCCCTCAGAAAAAGCCGAAGTCGAAAAAGGACAAGAAGGGCGCGCTAACAGACGAAGAAGAGGATGAGAATGACGATGAGAGCCAACGAGCAACAAAGGAAGAGACGGTAGTTTTATTTTCAAAGGGTAGAACGTTATTATAGGTAGTGATGGAGCCGGCCTTCAACCGTTTGTGTCCACCACAACCTGAAGCGACTGGTTGCGCCCGGAGCGCTGATGACAAATCCGATTCTACCGTACTGTTCACGGGACTACGAACCCGGAAATCAGTATATGGAATCGATCGGTTGGATCCGGCACAAAATGACGCCGATCACTACACGCACTATGTCGAGAGAGCCGGAATTGTCGTGGATCCAGAGGTGAGCTGAAGTGTTTCTGAGTGAATCGGAAAAAAAACAACATAAATCTACTATATATAAATTTCTAATGTCCGTACGCCCGCCGACCGGGAATTCAGCCAAATTCTGCATTCAAATTCAAAATTCAAATTGTGTGGGTAGTGGGAAAGCCAGCGCTGAACCCCCGCGTAGCGGGGGGTCAGCGCTGGTATTCTACATTTTTGTTAGACTTAAACGTAAAAACGTTGCATTTTGTTCCAAGGAATTTCCATTTTTTTAAAGGCTAGATAATTTTACCAGTTGAAACCTAATTCAGTCTTACCAAAAACGCACTAAAATACGTTCTATTATATTACTCTGTATTTCTCGACTTTTGGGAAGAAATCCCCCCCCCCGCCCCGTAACAAGACAGCACCGTTTCCTGCGTCAAATTATCCTTTTTAGGACTGGGTGAAGAATAAGCCGACGCTCTTGACGCAAATCCGCCTACCGGGCGAGTGCGGCAACGTCCGGCGGATGACGTCCATTTTCACCACCGACAACGCCATACATGTAGCTTTGTTTTGTCTCCTCGAATTCATAACTTTCAGACCGAGGTCCCGGAGGTCTCCGCGGCTTCTCGACAATTCTACGAGCTATCCGCCCACCCTGCAGCTCGATTGCCCTCTCCAAAAGATTGGAGTATCTTTACGGCCTATGGATAATCTGTGATAATTCTTTGTGATTACGATTTGAAGACGTTGTGATAAGTTAAACACTGTCTGTGATTTTCTCACGGGAGAAGCGCTCCGTGCAAACGTGTAATAAACTTTTTGAGCCTATTTGGGTTAGAAAGAAGGCTGGCTTTCAAGGCTGTCGGGTATCTGCAGATACTTTAGGAGGGGTGGCGCGGTTTCGTCTGTTCCCTCCGCTCTGCCAGCGTTATCTCTCCGCCCGGCTGGTTGCCACCAGCCTTTGGCTGACTCTAACGTTCTCCGACTTTCGTAATTTCGTTCGTTATGGAAAAGAATTTTGCGTCGTTCTCAGGGGACAAAAACGTGTCATATCCTAAAAAAAAAGCCTCGTTGCGCCTAAATCAGTAAATCTAAACTTTAATTGACGCAATCTTAACTGTTTTGTATGTAAAACATATTTACAACGGGAGTACCTTACCTACCTATACCTTACCAACTATTACATTCTTTTCGCCGAAATACCGACAACGGAAATTGGCGCGTTTTGCGTATTTCCGACGAAGTACGAAGAAAAGAAATAGAATATTTTTCATGAACTTTTCTCTGGAGCTAAAATTCCCAACCGACAATTTGAATATTTTTCATTCGTTGAATAATATTTTTCCTTGCAACGAAAATTTTCGTTCACCATCTTCCCTTTTCAGTAATTACTCCAACACTAACAACTCACAAATGCGCCGGCCGGCCGTTTACCTCGGCCACGATCCGGCCGACGGACTGCCGAAGTACTACACCTGGGGTGAGGTGCGAAATGCTTGCCAAAGCTCCATTTCCGCTCTATCCCCGGGCAGGCTCTTCACTTTCGAGACTTGGTCAGTGCGAGCCGCATTCTCAACCTTTGTTTTTAGCGCGCCTACTGGTCATGTCCGCGGCTTCCAAGAGCTGCCACCGGAAGATCAGACTGGCCAACGAAAGTTGGATGGGGTTTTGACGGTATTAATCCATTATAGAAGTTTGAACCACTGTTTTAGATCAAAGACGTCGTTTCTCGTCTTGGACATGACATCTGGGGCCTACAGCTCGGTCCCGTCTTCTTGACGGAGGCGTGCAAAACGTTGACCATCGCAGATTACGAGTCATGGATGGGTGTCTTCCAATGGTAGGCACAGATTGGTTTATAACCATGTACCTTTGCTTAGGAGTTGGGCTTCCAAACGGTTTCAACTTCTCACCAGCACTCGCATTGTGCAGGAAGATACCGGACATTTCAGAGAGATTCGACAGTGTGTACGTTTCTTGATTTGTTTTTGAAGGGTGCTTTAGAAAACTAAGTTTATCAAGCGCACTGCCTCTGCGAAGAAATCAGATGTTACCGTTGGGAAGGAAGCCGTCATCGCTGACGATGGGTCAGATGGGGAGGATGAGGAGACGGCTAGGCCGGTAAGCTTTTGGTGAAGTTTTCCTTAGGCAACTGCACTTTTTAGACTGGCCGCCTCGTGGAGGGTGCTGTATTACAGAAGAAAGATAACCACTTTGTGGTATGGGTCGTTGGCTTCGGCCTTTGCAAATCTGACGTTCGGGCCGGATCGGAGGTGCCTCGGCAGAAGCTGATGTCAGGCGACTTCGTCCAGGGATATCTTAGGTTAGGAATTTCTATTATTCGTAAGCGTTTTTGCTTATCCACTTCGACGTCCGGATTTTTCCAGGGATGATCTGCCTGATAGCTTCCTTGACAACTGGACGCTCATCGCTCCGCCACCGGATCTTTCGTGGAGGGTCATAAGATCTGGGAGAGGCGATATTTCGGTAATTTTTTTGACGCATTCGATGTAATCCACAATTTCAGGTTCAATGTCAACTTACGACGCGCACACGCGATCTGCACATTGGCAAGGCGGTTTTTCGATACTCTAGTGACTTCGCGGACGTCTACGATATTCATAACAGGGTTTGTTTGGTTCTAGCTAAAAACTGCGTGAAGCTTTTATACCCATTCGATTTTTGAATTTGGCGTAGATTTTTGGAACCCTCCATCGCGCCTATTCTTTCGATTATTACAATGTCCTGCTTCAGTAATGTCGTTTCCATGTTAGACGACGTGTCCTTCGCATATCCAACCCCCAGCCCCCTTTGGCTTATTCGATAGAAATACTGGGGGTCGGCGCTTTCCTCTTCTCCCGCCCCAATATTTCGCCCCGCTTTTCCGCTCCGTCAGGCGGTTCGAGAAGGCGCTGCCAAAAGCGATGGCTGCTCTCCCCAACCCCAACTGTTTTGCTAAGCCTTATCTCCGTTTTTGCGCGACTTATCAACCCGAATTGAGGTACCGCGTAGGTAGCGCCTGATTTAGCGCCGAGCATTAGTCAGCGAGTTTGCAAAAATATGACTTCCAGGATTGTCGGCCTACCGTAACCTGGGCCGGGGCCAAAAATTTGCTTATTCTGAGGGGATGATCGTATCGTAATTGGAGCACAACCAATTCAAACCCCACGATCTTATCGGCATAAGCGGTTCATATCGGAATAACAGGCTAATTTGTATGCAAATCGTTCTTACGCCTATCGGAGGTAAAAAGCCTAACATAATCTTGGGATCAGGGGTCCCTACCAAAAATTAGAAACCACTTCCGCCGTCATTTCTCTTGCCGGAGCTGTTTTTTGGTAGTTGCATTGCATTCCCTGTAGAATCCTCAATTTCGTTGTTATTCAGATATTGTTCTCTTATTCAGATGTGATGTTCACATTTGAATCAGCCCATTTCGTCTTGAATTCCGATTAGCATACCGGGCTGAGCGCCGGAAATAGCATCTCGCAGTTATATGCGCAGCATCTCCAATTTAGATCAGCGCAACTCAACAACTTCCTGTTAATGTGCTGATGGGCTGGCTGGAAGAGCGCTCTCGATTCTACGTCAAGGAGATGGTCACACCGAAGCCGTTGGTGGAAGGGCAGAAGGCAACACACGACCTAGAAGAGGTGGAAATTGAGGAACTCCCGCTGGTGGATATCAATCAGAATGGAGAGGAAGACGCTAATGTAAGACCTTATTTTTTGCCAAAAATGCTTTTTAGGAGGTGGTCGACACGAATATTAACGCCTACGTCGTTCTCATCTATCCGAACGACCATTACGGATTGTACAGCATCTCCAAAGTGAGTTTTTTGTGCAAGCCAACAATCAAGGTATGCTTTCAGCCGGGCGGCATCCTGTTACACGCTCCAACTAAAGCTGGCGGCCGCATGAAGCTCGGCACGCGTGTCATCGTTGACTGGTAAAGCCTTTTTGAAATGAACCCAATGACGACGATTTAGTGTCAATCGCGATGCGAAAGTCCATCGAGACGCTTTCAATTCGGTGGATTATGACTTCTACCCGAATTGCGCCACCAAACTCATGAAGCCCGGGAAGAAACTGCAGAACTGCAACCTTCACGGCGATAGAACTAAGGGAGATGGTGCTGGTGTGAGGACCGGTCGGCTTATGGTGCGTTCTTAGGCTTCATTGTTTAATAGAAAAGCTTTTTTCGCCCTGATGTACTTCTAGGCGCTTAAATGGTTCCACCAACAACATCGACTAGGATTGAAGTGACGGAGAAAGATTTTCAGCTGATCGCCGATCTTCGTTACGACGTTAACACGGGGGTTTACACGCACAGCGACGCCAATTCGGACAAGCCGAAGCTTCGCGTCAAAGACAGCATGAAGCTGGTTCAGGTATCCTAAACGCTCGCGCATATATGCCCTATATTTAGACGCCACGTTATGATTGTATCTACACGTGCAAGATCTACTGCGACTATAAAGCCACGAAATTACGCGACGACTTCTTCAGTACTGGACCTGAATGGACCATATTGGAATTGAGAAAGTCTACAGCGCCCAACGGTTCGTCTCTGTGCCGAATTACATGCTACTTTTGAATTTTAGCCAATCTTCCGGCTGCACCCATCATAACGGACCTGGCGCCGCTAGGTATATTCTACGGGACGCCATCGATATATTTTTGATGATATTTGCAGATGTTCTGCACTCACGCGAGAGCATCCAGAAGGCCCCCTTTTCGTCTGTCGTCGTCCGTGGCTGCGTGGTCCAGAAGCCAGTTGTCGTCAGCCATCGACTCTGCAGCGCCCCTGCCACGGTGCCCCCTGCTCCAACACCCGTAGCTAAGAATGTCGCCCCCGCTATTGGCGCCGAGATTGCGCCTACTGACAACGCCAAAGTGCCAAGGTTTGTAAAGAAGCTCCTTCTTGATCTATTTCTTTAGGTCATCCGATGACCGCCTGCCCGAAATCCCGAATAGCCATCACCGAGACGGTTGGGTCGGTTTTTCGAGCTTACCTAGGTTGCGGATAGCCACTTGAAACCATTGACCATAATAACCTAGTCTTTTAGTACTACGGCTTCGCGTACATCGACTCTTACAAGCCTAACCCCGAAACGAAGACTCCAAAGCGTTCGTTAAAAGTTCGCACAATGTTCGGGGAGGTCTATCAGGCGATTTGCGACAGCGACCAGTGGTAATTTCAGTATCCCGGCATAATTTTATTTTTAGGAACGCCGTCCGCGGACGATGGGTTGAGTTCCAGTTGAAGGAATTCGAACACGGCAGGAAGGGTGACAACATTCGCACGCTGTCTGAAGCTAAGCAACGTCTTTTCCCTACGCTTTCGGTCCCGAAGAGTGGAGTCGGCCTGACGGTTAGCCTTTTGGGTTTCCGAAACCAAACCCGAACCGAACCGCTAACTTTGAATCGTTATTCAGATGCAACTCCCCGGCGTTTACACGGGCTCTGACGGTGGAAAGCCCACGTTCCGCACCAATTTTTCGGGTGTAAGTTTTAATCTTTACACAGCTTTCTTTTCCTATTTTTTTCTCATCGTTTAACCAATGTGTTTACAGGCCGAGCTGATCCGCGGCTCAGAAGCGCAGCAAACGATCTACACGCAGGATTCTATCTACACCCTGAATCTGATCTTCGTCGTTCAGTCGCGCCGTTTCGAACTGGTCACTTCGAGTTACGTCCGAAAGGTCGTTGAGGAGGTGCGCTGTCAAAGGTTTATGAGGCCTGTTTCTCGCTTTCCTCCCGTTAGCCTCACCTACTTGGGTTTCCAGGACGAAGGTGACGTGCGCTGGGGAGACGGAGCCTACAGCGTCTCCGGCGATTCCGAAACCGATGGTGATAGCGATATTGATGATGCGTCCCGCGTGGAAAATGTGATGAAGGCGTCCGACGCTGCATCCGACGAATCTGACGCCGATCCGGACGATCTCAAGCATATCGAAGCGTATCTGAAGGCGGCGAAATCGGTCGACCAGGTGCGAGTTTTTTTTCGTTAGTTGATCCTTTTTGTTTCAGAAAACTTCGGTTGTCGATGCCTCCGTGCTTGACGGTTTGGCAGAAGCGTTCCACGTGTTTGTCAACGATCCAGTTCTGTACGAAGAGATCGAGCTCCTCTTGAAGGGCAACCCCTTGCTCGTGGCAATTCGACGCATGAAGAAACTCGTCCCTATTAACTGATTTTTCTGTATTACGCCGCCATTGCATGTCTGCATTTTTGTGTGAATCCCCTTGAATTGAATTATTTTTTTGTACATTAGTTTGCTCTGCTGTTCACTCGCTTCTCTAGTCTTGCTTTAAAGACCCTCCGGCACTGATTCGGGTTGGGGAGATCGCTGAATTCCGGTTTTTATTGTAAAGACATCAAGCTGTGAACTATCCCCTTGGCGATCTCCCTACGGGTGCTCTTGTTTTTTCTACTCGCCACATTCTGATCATCGACCCCCATTATTTTTGACTAATCAAAATACGAAAACGACAAAAAAAGTCCTTCCCATTTATTGTGGCATTGCTTTCAATAAATGTGGGAGGCGAGACGATTTATGGTACACAATATTATGATGGAAAATGTCAATATTACAAAAGCGAGGATTTTCGAGTACGCTTGATCTCGGGCGGCGTCGGGCTTGCCGCGGCCGGAGGGTGCGTGGGGCCCGTGATTTTGCGCTTGCGGGTCTAAAAACAGATTTGCAGCTCGGCAGAATACGCATACATGGCTGCCGTCCGCCTTCGTGAGGAGCTCGAGGTAGCTGGTGATTCGGCGCCGGCTGAGCGGGGCGCCGGGACATTCGAGGAATGTGTTGGACAGTCCGCCTTCGGGCAATGTTGATACGCGCAACTTCGGATCGATTTCGAGCTAAAATGTTGATGTTTGGACGGCGAAGCGAGGATTCATGGCAAAAGCACTTTGAAATGCGCCAAAAAAAATTCCGCGAAGATTGATGTTGTTTTTACAGCAACAACAAAGCACCCACCATCGTGCCCTGTTGTTGCAATCTGGCGGCAACGGTCTCGAGATCATATTCGGTGGTTTGCAAAGTGGCTTTCAATTCCTAAAAAATGAATACCAAGGAAAGAAACGCATTACGCACCTGAAGCAACATAATTTGGGATCGGAACTCGTTATAGACGGCCACGATTTTCTCCGAGCCCAGCGGGTTCATGTCTGCAAAAAAATGGGGATGGAAGAATGACGCTTTGCTACCGAGCTTCAGTTTCTCGAGAACCGTCTCAATGTTCTTCAGCTTCTTCTGCCCGAGATTTGTCGGCAACTTCATTTCTTGACTTCGAAGGTGGACGCCGGATCCGCGGAATTCGCTGAAGCGCAACTGCGTCGAGGCCAGGTCCTGGAAAGAAACCCGCTAAATGCTTTTGTATATAAATTCACGCACCAAATTCACATTCGGGGTCGGCATCATCAGCGCACCAGCCCGACCTCGAGATTGGTTTTTCTTCATTAGAGCTGCCGAATTCCTGCAAGGAAAATTTTTAATTGATCAAAAGGATCGTTACGCAGAAGGGCTGGCCGGGGCTGCCATCTCGTAGCTGGTCGTGATCAGCCTCTGAAGTTCCAGGGCTCTGCGCTCGCGTTGACGCCGTTTCTGTTCGAGTCGTTCCATGTCAATCTTCAGTTGTTGCTCTTCGATCCACTAAATTACGAAGGCACTAAATTTTTCAGATTCTTCACTGACTTCCTCGGAAGTCCGGCTCCAAAGCCTCTCAAGTTGATCCTTCCGCTTTCGCTCATTATCCGCGTCAAAGTCGTGCCGCGGTGCCGTCGGAGATCTCAGCTACAAAAAAAAGACAATATTAAAGCATATGTATTCGCACCTGTTCAACTTCCGAGAGAATACTGTAGAATCGTTCCTTCAGGTCTTCCATCGTGCGTTCTTCGCCAAAGACCGTCTGGTCGTAGCGGTCAAAGACGATTGGCCATCTGAACGAAAAAGTAAGTGACCCAGCTTTTTACACCGTCTTCAATATAAAACGTTCGTAAAAAATTATTGAGATTTAGGTAAATCGTTTGAAAAACGTCTATGCCCCTCGTTAGACCAGTTGAGTACCAAAAGAAACATGCATAAGCGACCAACCGTAAGTCAAAGCGCCCGCAGACTTCCAGTAGATACATGGTCTCTTCTTTTGTCCAATCCTCATTTTCCAGGTGCTCCTCGTATTCCTCGTCGGTAAACGTGGGAATTCCCGGGTCCTAAATACACCATGGAAAGCAAATTCCAAAAATCTACCTGGTTTGAAAACTTTGCAAAGAGGTACGGTATCTTTAATCGTTTCCGATCTTGGCGTAGCCAATGGCACAGTTCGAGTCCGTCGTTTCGCGCCTCGTTCTTGAACGGAGCCCAAAACCACTTGCGGGGCCGTCGTATGCTCGGCTAAAAATTGTCTTTATTGGCTAATTTCGGGGAGACGGCCATTTTATTTTTTCTATGAAAAAGTACGTTTCTAGTTGTTTTTACTATCCGCGAAATTATAAATTTTGAATTAACGGTCCAATTTCCGGTCAAAAACGATTTTTTAACCCAAAATAACCAAAATTTCGGCGATTTCTAACAAAAATAAGGCTAAATCTTACCATAAAACGCTCTACTTGAGTCCTTAGCTCCAAAGAACCCGCAGAATTCCCGACTCCCCCAAAAATACCAAGTACACGTTTCGCATTTCGCACAGACACTAACTTGCAACTTTGTGGTGTAGACACCCTGCCTCGTCAAGGAAGGCAGTGCCATGTCCAGATCTACGAGCTCCTTGCCCGTTGACGTCAATATACTCATCAGTTCACGTTGCCCCTTCTTCGCCTTCGGCACCACCTCAACTTTGCGAAACTAAAGGATATTTGATAGGTTCTCGAATTTTCTTGCACCTTTCCATCTTCGGGTGCCTCTTCATCTGAGCTATCCCCCGCATCATAGGTGACGACGCTTACTTTGCCCACTCCCGAGTAAGCAGCCGCGTCTTCTAATTCGTAGCCATCCATTAGTCTGCCTAAACAAACAAATTAAATCTTAAAATTTACTTTTTAACACTTTTTCGAGAGGATTTTGAGCAATAAGCGCATGAACTCGCAAAAGCGCCTGATGATTATGATGCAACATAAACTAATAAAAAAGGCTAACTTTATTATTACTTTCGATTTTCAAACTTTTTTGTGGGAATGACACAATTCTCCCTTCTTTTGCCGAGGTTCGAGAGTCCGCGCTTTCGCGGGCTACAAACCACACTGGCACGTAGCCAACCAGACTGGTCCCGCAGCGATCCTCATTTCCCGGGCCAAAATCTGGGGAACGGCCTATCTTTTTTAGAAAAATTCTGAATTCCTTGGGTCTTGCTTTATTATTCTGATTTTCAACATTATTTTCATGATACCCTGACATGTTTCCGCCGCTTTTCCCACTAATTCATTTCTTTTCAGCGCAAACTGGATATTGAGCACAGAAAGAGAACAAAAAGATAGCAGTACCTTTTATCTCTTCTGACGCGCAACACTCTCTTCGACAATGGTGAGGATTTCCTGATTTGCCCTATCAGTCCCAGCTTTTAGGCTGTTCCCTTCAAGTCCGACAAACCCATCACCGATGCCTCTGAGCACCGCATCCGCATCACTTTGACGTCCCAAAATGTGCCGGCTCTGGAGAAGGGTAATTTTTGGTTCTTATACGTTAAGCCTAATATTTACACGCTGATGAGTGAGTGTCGCGCATCTTTTCCACAGGAAAGCCACTTTTGTTGTTACACCTACACGCTAAGATTTGTAGGCACTAGAGCCGAAATTTTATACACCGGCGGGCTGAATTCGGCTTAAAATTGCAACATTTGCGCTACCTAGAAATTCTGTTGCGAATAATATCTACCTTTTTAGTGTGCGGCCAACTCATCAAGGGCGCCAAGGACAAGGAGCTCGATGTGAAGGGCCCAGTCCGCCTGCCAACTAAGACGATGCGCATTACCACCCGCAAGACCCCTTGCGGTGAAGGCTCAAAAACTTGGGATCGTTATCAAGTAAACCTTATGGCTGTTGACCACTAACTGTTCTTTTAGATGCGGGTTCACAAGCGCCTAATCAACTTGACCTCCCCCTCTGAGGTGCTCCGTCAAATCACCTCCATCTCGATTGAGCCGGGAGTCGATGTTGAAGTCACCATTGCCGATCAACAATAAATGGTCGATGATGTGCTGGCAGTTGTTTCAGCCCTTGTTGTTAATCCGCCTGATAAACATTTTGTTTTACCTCGGCCCAGAACACTTTTATATTCTATTCACCATTTTGCCCCGCCTGTTTGCTTACCAATAAACGTAAATAATAGAAAAGCAGCCAGTGCACAAAGTTTTGCGGCTTCACGTTCTATTATATGGTTGGGTGGGCTCCGTTCTCTACTTTGTGGCGTGCGCTATGAATCATTTGTTGGGAGCGCGCCTTGGCAAGAAAACAATTCGCTTGTTCAAGAAATTCAAGCGCATTCACAGCAGTGCAATATTATCACCATACAGCGGATAGTTCCAGTGTGGCGATGTCTGTCACCGATGATGATTGTCCAATTTGCACTCAAAAGATGCTGCTCCCGACAGCCGTCGACGGCTGCGGACACAAGTTTTGTTTCCTATGCATAAAAGGTAAATGCTTGTTTATTGTTGTAAAATTGTCGTTAGGTGTTGCCTTGAGCGTCATCGCGGCGCCGCTTTGCCCGATGTGCCGTGGCCCGTTGAACCCCGCGCAGTTCAGGAAGGTTGTTGACAAGCACCTGCTAATCGACATGAGCGACCCCGAAGGTGACGACGATGATGGTCCTTCGCAGCCGAAGAGAGCGAAACGTACTTTCGATTCGTGAATCCATGGTTGCGTTCTTTTAGCTTCTCCGGAAAAAGAAAAGGACAAACGTCCCGAATCGCCGGAGGCGGGCACAAGTCAAGTGGCCATGGCGCAGAAATCCAAGGCAAAGACGGCTTTCTGGCTGTATAGAGTAAGAAATGCGCCGGGCGACTAAATTTTGTTTAGGCGCGTGGCAACGGCTGGTGGCGGTTTGACCCACGCACAGAGAAGGATATCGAAGCTGCTCGGGCCGCCGACCAGGGAAAATGCGAGGTTCGCTTAGCGATTTCTTATTATACCCATTTTTTTAGGTGATGACTTGCGGTGTGCTCTACGTCATAGATTTGCTGAACATGGTAATTTTTGAGTGATTTGATTGTTCGGGGTGCAAGGAAATATTTGCATAGTCGTTTCGCAAATTTTGAAAATTTCCCGTGGAAGCCGGGGGCGGATAGCAATTTGAGTGCGCGCAGAAGGCGGAGATTAGACGTGGGTGAAGGGCCCCGGGCTCGTTCTATCCGTTCCCGGCGCGTAATATTGATCCCCGATGGGGCCCACGGGGGCGGAGCTGAGGCCCCGAGGGGCCCATGCGGGCTCTTGCCTATTCCGCCCAACAATCCGACACACAGGTGTTGCTTTTCAGAAACAGTATCGCAAGGACAGCAGCCATATTCAGCGCGAAATCGTTCGCGTCGAGGGCGATGTCGAGCTGAATAGGTACGATATCCGCGGACTGGCCGGCGTTTCCATCAAGTAATCTACCCTTTTCCTCATCTCTTTTGAGCCATTCCAGAATTCGCTTTAGCCCCTTTTTTGCCTCTCCCAGCCGGGTCCATTTTGATTGTAAATCTGAATTTTGAAGGGAGTTGCTTAGTACTTTATGTCAATGGAAAGCCTCGTCCTTTGGTAAATCCGTTCTCAAAGAACTACTCGCTCCTTGAATTCTTTGCCACCCTTTGGCTTCACTACTATTGTTGTACTTACTCTTTTCGCTGCCTGTAGGTACTTTGCTCACGATTCCTTTTCGATGCCGTTCGTGTTTGCCTTCTCCAATAAAAATTTCTGCATAACTCAAATTGCACTTCAGTGTATGCCGGCTCTGGTCTGGATCCATTTCGAGCCGATCAGTGATGTACAAGCTAAATGTAAATACTGTGGCGCGCTGTTGACAGTGAATAATGGATCTACAAAGGTTGGGTGATGGAAGTGGTGGGGTCGTTGCAAGGATAGTGGTAGAACAGTGTAGATACGGGCTGCCCGGTTTGTTGTCTTGGTTCTGCAAGACGAATTTCTGATTGATGCGTGGTTTCTACAGGGGCTCTGGACACACGTCAGTCGAAAGCACAAGGACGAGCACCTCAACTACAATTATGAGGCTGATGAAGCGGTTGAGCAGATGCAGGTAAACATTAAGAATTTTAGTTTTTTTTTCAGGTTAATACACCAGTTTTTTTGCCTGTTTTACTATTTTCTTCCAGGCAATTGCTCAACAACCCATCGTCCGCGGCGACGCCACAAGCCATCCAGTAAAGACAAAAGCGACACCTGAAAAGAAGCCACCCACCATCAGCAAGCCAAGGAAACGAAGCCGTCCGCAAACGAAAAGCGACAGTATGTTTTGAACGTCCAGGAGGCAATTATCGGGTATTTGCAAGTGCGACTTGAGGCAGATGCCCAGATTTGACCGGGATTCCTTGGACACGAGATGGGGTGGTAATTGCCGGGATCGGTTGCATCCGAGGGCCGGCTGGCAGCAGGATAAGCACCTAGACTAGTGTCCAAGCTAATGGGGGTAAAGCCGTGCTGCGTTGATAAAGATTTGCAAAGAATAGACTGCATATGCACAGTGCTATATTTTTGTTCGCCTTAAAAAATGGCGTTTTTAGAACAATTGCCCACTCGTTTTTGGTCCATTCTAGAAGCGAGGAAGAGCCCGTTTTCAATTAACCTTATTAATTTTCAGACACTTAATTTTAATCCGTAAAAAGGCACTAAAAATCCTTTCCAGGTGTAGGAGCCGTGCTAAAAACAGCCCTCCAAAAGCGCAGCACAATACAGCGACTCCATTGGATGAGGTATGTTTCTAATAGCGGCACATTTTTTGCTTAGAAATTACAGCGAAACTTGACGGAGACGATGTTGTTGGCAAATGTTAAGCGGGAACTAAGGTGAGGTTTAATAGCTGGTTTTTTAGATTCTCTTTAGTGAATCGCCAAAGCTAACAATAGCAACAGGACCTGAAGAAGAAGAGGATCCGCCTCTGTTTCGGTCCATTAAAAGGGAGATTGTAGGGCTAGGTTTTTGGAGCTTATCCTCTTTCGATTTAGGTTTCTGACGACGAGGAGGATGAGGCTTCTGGTTCTGAGATCCGGCCGATAATTTTTAATGGCAAGGGGAAGAAGCCTAAGAGTTATCGTGAGGCTTTGCACGAGGTAAGCTTTAGAAGGTGCGCCTGGCTATTTGTTTCCCCATATAAACTCTGTTATTTTGCCATTGCCGCGTAAATTCAGATTTTTGTAGAATTGCCGGCTCTATAAAAACTCCTAGATCTTCGAGATTCCGGCATACTTCGTTGTGCTCTACTTTTCCAGCGGCAAAAACCGCCAGTCCGAAATGAGGGTCTGACCTAAAAAGTGGGGGGCTCCTCCTCCTTCTTCTCGTGATCTTCCTGAGCGTTCGAAAACGAGTCTCACCCTCCCTACCCTAAAGGCATCAGATTTGCGGGGGCGCTCCGCGCTCGTCTGCCATGCTAAAAAGGGCGCGCCAGCCTCCGGAGGGGGGCTCTGACCGATGTATATTGTGTGTGTGCCCGGACTCGAACACTCTCGTTTTCTAGTTTCCACCACCCTCGCATTCAGCTCTGCATTTGCTTTCGGAGGGCAGGTTCGCTTGGGTTAGGGCGCAAATTTGTGTAGCTATCAGCTGTTGTTTGAGCTGTTTTCATTTTTTTCTTTTATGGGGTACTATTTTATAAAGTATTAAAATTTTAATAATACCTTTCGAATTACTCCGTTTTTCTAGTGACGTGCTCTTTCCTTTATACCTGAATATCTTCATTTCATGGATTTTTGTCATTTCTTAGAAGACCCCCCGCAAGCGCACCCCCCCCCCCTTTGCTAGTCTTAGGATTTAAATTTTATTAAGATAATTAAAATATTAAAAAAACGAAAAAGGGGATCTGGGCGGGGAAGGGCCTGGGGAAGAGGGGGAAGAGGGGAGGGGGCCCCCCCGGGGAGAGGGCCCCCCCCTTTTTTAGGCGCCCTTCAAGTTTTTAACAAACTTCAATTTTACTTGGTTCGACTACCCCCTATCCAAGCGGGGGGGCCCCAACCCCCTCCCCCTCCTGAGTTGTCTGGCTTCGAGCGGGGCAGACACCACCATTCTAAGTTGATTTCCAAAAAACTTAAATTTTTGAAGTTAAAGATTTGTTCGAAAATCGCTATGATTCGTATTTCTTAATGAAAATATTTTACGCTTAAGAATCGTAGAGAAAAAAAAACGGTTTATAAACATTTACTTTATTTGTTTTAGAAAAACTGGTCCTTAGGAAAAATAGCCCCTCTCCCCGATATTGCAAAAGCGCCAATATCCTTAATTTTTAAAGCCAACATTCCTTATATTTTCTTCTGGCTGAAATGTCGATCTTGATTCCCGAGTAACGCGAGAGCCGGACACCCCCATCTCAAACCACCTTCTTCCAAATACTGACCTACTGCCCCCCGTAACTCGTCCCCTTGAAAGGAAGGAGCTCTTGCCTTCAATCCGCCCTCCCCTCCCCGCCCCGAGACCGAAACCGGTAATAATTCACCGCCCATAATTTCAGTTCGGCTACAACATTGCGCCGGATATGGAACACGTGGCCGGTGAGTTTTCAATTCTTCTTAAAATTTTGAAAAAAAAGGATTTTTTAAATTTTATTTTACCTCAATAATTCAACAATTTCTAAGATAATACTAATTACTTAATGGTTATAATTTAAAAAACATTAATAACTTACAGGTGGAGAACCGGTGCCCTCGTTTAATCTACCACCCCTTACGGAAGCTTTTCGAGCAACAGTCACGCGAGATTACGAAAAAGCGATTACCCTAGTAAGAGGCACAGTCAAAAGTGACCATGCCTTCAATGCAGGTAATCTAGAAAACCAGAATCTCACCAAAAATAACTACTGAAGATGACCTTGAACTGCTAGACCATGTTTTCGCCTGCGTTCTCAACACAAGTCACTACGATGAAACGATGATTGAGGTAACCTCACAGCGCAGAGCATTAACAGTCTAATTCCTAGGTATGTTGGGAGTGGATCGACGCCTTCGAGCGCCCACCCCGATCTATTGACCCTCGCGTCGTCTCCGGTAGCCAGTTGAGCATCTACTTTGCCTATCACACGGTCAGTTTACCGTATTCTAAAACGTTTATAGCGCACACCATTCAAAGTCAAATCAACAAACATGACAACACGCAAAATGAGAGATTTGAGGACAAGAATCAGATCGGCAAAGCAATGAGTGTTGTGTAGAAAAGCGGAAAATGAGAGGTCTATTTACTTCTTGCCCGACTGGAGGATCTTCTGCATGTCTTCTTGGATTCGGGTCAGCTTCTGTTCCATCACCTTCTTCTTGTCGTTGCTGTCGTTCATTTGGTCTTCGACGCGTTTGCTAAAAAAAGAGGATATAATAGAAAATCAGAGAACTTCGCGCTGTTTAAAATGCTTTTTGATAAGGTCTGGGCCGGTAAAAAACTCACGTTTCTCCTTGAATGTATTCCAATCGCTTCTCGACTTGACTCCTTGCTTCAGTTAAATCAACCTAAATAGGGATATAAATCGCCCAAAAAAATTGTTTACCTTGACTAAAACGGCTCCTATCAATTTGAAAACTTTCGAATCTTCCTCCAACAGATCCAACTCCTAAAAAAGACATTTATATAAAGAAAAGCATACTCAAACCTGCTTCACCATCGTGTTTTCAGTAAATTGGCCCTCCAGCTTTTGTCGGTTTTCGATGTACTTTTCCCGATCTAAGAACAAATTCGTGAAAGGAAAATTGTCCATACCTTTTTCGAGCTGTTTGAAAACCCCAATCTCCTTCTCGAACTGCATGCGCAATCCCTCGAGCGCCTGTTGAGACATCGTAGAGTGGTCTAAATATATTCGTTGGGAAAGCAGATCACAGTAAATGTGGAGAACCGTATCACGAGAACCAGTAGTATTAACGCGAGACAAAGGATAGTCGAGATCAGACCAATTCATTGCCGAGTTCAAAAAGTTAAGCAAAATTCACAGCGTTTTACTGGAGGGAGGAAGCCAACGCGCTAAAGCAAAAAAAATGAGAAAAATTGAGAAATTCTCGCGGGACTACTTGAACAATCGCCTTCGTTCCGGCGTCTTCGTTTTCTGCCCCATTATTCTAATGACGCCACGGCGCTCTAATTCGGGAGTCGATGGGAAATCCAGATCCCAATAATGTTCTGGGGTACTTGGTAGCGGCTTCTCAACGTAGCGATGCCTCGATATTTGGTCCATACGCTTCTTTCGAGAGACCGGGCTTAAATCCAGCGCTCCGTAGTACCCGCTACAACATGGACAATCAGTCCCGTGCATCAACGCACGGTCCTGTTGATTTCGCACGACCTGTCCGTCCCGAAGACCGCGTTCCTTTAGCTTTTCCGCACGTGTTTTTGGGGCCTCGGGTGTCGGAGTTGCAGCGTCGTCCAGCAACTCACGGAAGCGTTGCGACGTTTTCTGGCCCCGGCTTAGTTCCGGTTCCACTTTACATTCTTGGCTATCGAATACAATTTCAAGCGAAGGTGACCGATCTCGCAGCCGGCTAGATCCCGTAGAACTAGACGGCGCATCCGGGTTGGAAGGCGGAGGTGTCAAGAGCATCACCTGACTCGACTTCTTCACAGGAGAAATAGTACGGGGGATTGCCTCTGACTTAGGCTTCCCCACCGGCGTCGTTGGGAAGTCGGCTTGAAATCTCTTTGGCTGCGACTTTTTGACCGGCGATATCGTCAACGGAATGATGCCAAAATGCTTCATCGTTCCGGGTGTCTTTCTTTTACTGCTGGTGCGTGGACTGCAAGTTTTCGCCTCAGGTTCTGGCGTGAGCGTCGAGCCCGCAGCAATTCTTCTCCTGGCCCTCGAATACCGCGGGGAGATCGTGTCTGGAATCCGTGTTGCCGGGGTCCGCGCCTCAGGAGTGCGTAACTGTGAAGCTAGCGGTGAAATGACAATACTACCTGGCGAGTTCGTTCGCACATCCATTGTTTCGAATAATATCGGACTCGCCGGAATCGTCATCCTCCTCACCTTGGCTTGAGGTGAGGCATTGAGCCGCCCTGCCCTTGGGCTCGCGAATATATCGGTGCTGCGGTCGAGGGCATTCACAATGCTTGTTGTGCTTGATGTGGCGGACGCGTGGCTGACATTGAAGAGGTCCGGGCTGTTGGTGAGATCCAGAAGTGGAGGAGACGACTTTTTGGGAGTTTGCAAGCGTTGTTGAGAGTGTTGGTGCTTCTTTATCGGCGAAATGGAGTCGTCCAGGAAAGAGGCATCGGACATACCTGAAAATAGCCGGATTAGATCATCGGAAATTGTATAAAAACATTGTAAAAGCATTGATTTTATGAAATTTAGCAAAGAACTTTGAAGATTTTTCGATCCATTTTAAATGTAAGGATGAGGAGAGAGCACTGGGTGGACTGGCGATGGGCGCTGGGTGTAGCCCGATAAAAAACGCGTAAGGGCTCCAGCCAGAAATAAAAATTAGTTTTTAGCGTCATAAATGTATTTTTGGCGTTAGAATAATATCAATATGACCAATTTAGATATGTCGAGTCCAAGATCGAATGCCAAAGAAGGCAAATTCTGGGGAATTACGGCGAAAGACGTGGGCGAGAATAGTCGAGAGTTTTGAGTAAGTTCAAAGATGAAATTAACCAGTAGTTTTTTTAAATTACCCCAATTTCCGCTTAGATACCTAACAGCGGCCGCGATAGCGCTTTGGAAAACGGTGGACCTCGATCGTTTGGAGGTGTTCGTGAATTGGAGCTACCTGGCGCTTCAGTACGCCGAAGTCTGTGACGAGGCAGTGCTTTTGAAGTTGAAGGTAGGGGAAGAAGCAAAAACAAAACCAAAAAATATTAAGGAAGCGAAAGAAGAAGCCGCCGAGCAGCTGGGCGCGTCAATGCTTTTGGAAAATGGACATTTGGCGGGTGAAAGGGTCGCCACGCTCGAGCGAAATATCACCGATGCTTGCTTGAGGAAGGGTATTACCACACAAATGGTGAGTCTGCACTAATATCAAGCAAACTACGAAAAATCCATCAATTTAGCTTATCGAGGGGATGCCCGAAAAGAAGAAAGCCCGGATGGCAGATGGATAATTCAAAAGTTCAATTTTCAGATCTCTTTCCGAAATGTGATTCCACGATAAATGTGCATATCAACAGATTATGGTTAAATGTACGCAATGCCAATCCACAGTTTATTCAGAGGCGACACGGGCAAAGCAAGCGACAACAATAATAGATTAGATCAAGGCTGCGAAATCACATTTATATCACCGGTGACATTTTTAGAGGCGAGAAGACGCTTTTTTTCAGTCCTCTCGCATTCCAACTTCAAGAATTCCGGTTTGTTGGCCGGTGGATGGGGGTACTTCACCGGAAAAGACGATCAGATCGTCGACGGATACCTAGAAGTGATATTGGACTCTTATGGATAATTTAGCAATTGCATTTTATGTGTTTTTATGTATTTTCAACCTACCGAAATGTGGCGTACACCCCGCTCCGGTGTTTTTCGATAGTTGTAGACGAGGATTTTGGAGACAAATGTTGGCTCGTCGAAGATGATAAAGATGCGGGCTACTCGATTGGGTAAAAGCGGGGTTAACCACATGTGTTCGGGCCTAAAAAAGGTTAGTTTTTGTCTTTTAGGAGATGTCCACGAACCGCTCGGTGTCGTTGCACCCATCTATGAGATTTTCACTAGTTCTAGGATCTCCGTCAACCATCGGGAGGATGTTGATGGACTCGGGGAAAGCGGCGAGATCTGAAAGGCTTTGTAGCCTCGAAAAATATCGAGATTTCAAGCAGGCTAGCCGAGATTCTTGAGGAATATTGATGCGTTATCGATCCTGACTTACTGTGAGGTCGAAGCTTCAACGGACGATCTCTCCTATCCAACAGCTCGATCCCGTTGAGACCCACGTAGAACTCGTCGCCCCAAGTCGAGAGCAGCCGCAGTTGGAAGATAACTTGAAATAGCAATATTTTAAATTCACTTTTAATTCCCTACATCCATCGATCGAATGGGTCAGCGGACGGGGAACGGCCGTCTTCTGGGACCACGCCTTCGTGAAGGGCACATCCTGGACGTAGTCGAAGAAGACGAAGCCTAAAATTTAAAACTTTTAGTTGCAGCTGTTTTCGTACCTGGGGCTTTCCTTAAAAGTGCATTTCCCACGACCGGCTTGCTGTTGGCATGGATTCGGACCTCGCGCACGCCTGCGTACGACATTTCCGGTGAGGCGTTGTAGTTCCAGAAGGAGATGCCTGAAAAAGGGTAATAACAGCTAAAAATTAAACTTTAACGCATAAAAAGCCATAATTTTCATTTGCAGAGGTTCTCACCAGTAATCGCCTGCGGTTGCGGGAAGTTGATGGTGATCGTCGGCGGTTTGCTAGGGTCGAACGGTGTCAGCCACATTTCGGAGGGGCTGCGCGATAGATTGCGTCCGCTTATTAGGCTAAAAATTAAGGTTTCATAAGTTGTTAATAATATATACCTTTCAATTCCAGGCGAGCCATTCGATACACTGATCTGGACGTTTTGAAGTTTTACCACTTCTGCGTTGGGGCCAAGGATCTAAAAACGACGTAGGGACGCGTAAAAAAGGTCACATACTACTCAAAAATGAAATTAAAAAGTTTATAACTGTATTTTGGAAAAAAATAAAGTATTATCCTACAAAAATAGCTCACCTCGAGCCCGGTCAACCCTATCGAATCCCGGCTTCCCCAATTTGACAGCAACTCGATGTGTAGGACTATAAAAAATTAATATAAAGTCGGACTAGATTACCACCTTACAAATCAATTAAAATACGCCTTATAAAGTTACCTTTCGCTTTCAAATCGATCCCATTGCCCGGAATTGCCTCCTTTACAGGGTAGAACTTTGGCTCGGCGCGCGGGCTCTCCAAAAGTTCGCCCGTCGTCGGCCGATACGGTGTGAACGTCATCAGCGCGTCGGAATGTTCTAACAAAAGAGATAAATAAATTTAGATAAAATGTTGCGTAATTACCGCTCTGTTCCCTAACATCTTGCGTCGAATTGGCAAAGTCAAAATCGTGGATGAGACAGAGGTCGTTGTTGGCGATGGATTCGAGGATTGCCTCGTCGGTAGTGAAGAGGACCGTCTAGTAATGAATGGATGAAAATACATAAAAATAAACAACTTACATCACCCATGCCTTCCGCTTCTTCTTCCGACTCGTAGGCACATTTGATTTCACCCCTGATAAAAAAAAATAAATTTTGAGATGTAACATTACAAGACATGCTTCAAAATAGGGTAGGCTAGCAGAGATCTTTTGGCAATGTGATAAAATCGTATTGAATTACTTATAGTATTACCAAAAACTACGTGTTTAGAATTTAGAAAGTCTTAAGAAAAGCTAGCCGTTTTTTTTAGCATTTCTGAACTCTAATTCCTTTTCCAAGAAGCCAAAAAAACCCGTGGCAAGCTAGCAGAGACCTTTAGGAATTGTATTTTTATCCAGATTTAATTTAAAGGCGAAATCACCAGAGTCGAAAATAAATCGAGCAATTTCAGTCCAAGAAGATACCCACTTAAAAATAATCTCCCCATCGAGGGTCATATTCAGCCGGCGGACCCCGCGTTGTGCATGGACACGAGATTCATTGTAATTCTAGAACCGATAAACACCCATCAAAAATATATTGCCAAAAGCCCACCCAAATCCGGATCATCGCCACGGCCTCCGGTTTGGCAAAGTGGAGCCGCAGTTCGATGGGCGCCTAAAAGAGTGGTTTTCATTGAAGGATTTCGGCAACAAAACAAGCATTTTAAGTCGGAAACAATTGCAGAAAGCCTAGGTATGTGATCTACTAAAAATCGTACCTCTCCAATACTGGCGCACCACATTTGAGCACCATCTGTACAACCGAAATTCTCGACTAGTAGACATTGGATGTCTCCTAGTTGTTGGGCGGTGGCGTTGCTGCTCACCTGGAAAATGGGTTCTACTCAAAAAGGGGCATCATCTAGCTGTTCACCAAAAAGCAAAAAGTTTCACCGCGCCTGGGGTTCGAACCCGGACCTTGCGTCAGGATATGGTGGATTGAGCGCGATTTAGAAAACAAGATTTATCGGTAAAGGAGCGTTGAAGCCAGGAAGACCTGTATACTTAAAAATGAAACTACCTTCTCAACCCCAGCTCGCGTGCCATCAACCGTGAACACCTCGACGCAGTTGAGCCCCACCCACAGCGTGTCGCCCCAATTGTCGAGAAGATGGAGCACGAGATCGGTCCCCTTCGGGAGCACTGGGATTTCGCTAAAATGAGGATGAGCTACAGTATCTGATCGAGAAAAACTTACAACATCATCTCCTCGTCGGCCCCATTTTCGATGATTCGGTCGGTGGCGGCGGTGGCCATTCGGAAGGGCGCCACTGCGACTACTGTAAAAAATGGATTTTTTTGCCTAATAAAAGCAGCCTTACAAAAGGAATACCTATAAAAAGGGGAAATCTGCTTAAAAGTGCATTTTAAGGAACAGTGGTAGGCGACAAATAAAAAAGTAAAAGTTCCGGGTGGGCAGAGAATCCTTGTAGAAAGGTCTAAAAACGTCATTTTTGGGAACAGGGGATAGGTTTTAAAAATGCGATAAATTGCGGGTATACCTGAGGCGAGCGCCGCGCTTGGTGCCTTTTCGCCCGCCGTTGGGCCCCCCCCCCCCCCCCCCTTCTAGCAGCGATTCTTTGCGGATAATCCAAAAAATAAGCTAAAAAATCTTTAAGCATTAAAGGGAAGAGGAAAATCCGTAAAAGGATGGTATCAAAAATTAACCTAACTTTTATTTTAGAACAAGGAAGTCTTTTTAAGAATAAGCGAAACACTACGTGCTTCTTCGGGCAAACTAGCAGAGATCCTTGGCGGAAAAGCGTAGCAACCTCGCAAAATTAAGCAAAATAAATAAATCTGGCAACAGATTTTTAAAATGCAATAAAATATATTAAAAATATTAAAAATATTTTTTATATTTAAAAAATTTGAATTTAATATAATTTAAAAATATATTAAAAAAATCACTTGTCAGCAATGAGACAAAATGGCAAAATTCCTGACGCCTAAAAACTAGGCAATCTAGCAGCGTTTCTTTGCGGAAAATTGTAAAGATATACCCCCAAATCTAGAAACAATAAGCAAGAACTCAACTAAAAAAGAGCTATACGACACAACACCCAGCGGTTTCCGCTTATGGGCCCCCGTTTTCTCGTGTCGCCGGAAAATTGGGGGTTCGGCTTGGGGTGGGTGGGCCGCAGTGGGCCCTAGTAGCCACAAGCCAACAACAAAATATACACCTGGTGAGTGGAATGCCACCACCACCACTACGAGATAATACGATTCGACGGGCGGGGGATTACGGTAATGCAATAGGAATTGTGAATTTACTACGGTAGCTCGAAAAGGACAAGGAATAGGGAATTTGTAACAAATTCTATTGCCGAAAAACACTTAATAAAACTAAAGTTTGCTGTCATTTCTAATTATATAGTTTCGGCCCTTAATCGTATTTATTTAAATTATCGTAATCAGAATTAGCATTTTCCATGAGTTACGGTAGATAGGTACCGATTAAATTAGGTATTTTTGCTGATTATACTAAAAAATGAATAATTATAGAATTTTACTAAAATTTTAGCCGTGGAGCGAAGTACCGTATACCGTATCATACCGTACCCGGCCATAAACCTTACGAATTTTTAATTTAAAATTGGTCCAACCGAAATTCCGTGACAATACGCACCACACGAATTGACGCCTAGCAAAATATAGTACAGCAAAAAGAGCATGGGAAAAGCCGGGAAAATTCCGTCAAGCCCCGGGCAAAGCACAGCGGCTACAAACGGCTCCGGTTCCCCCGGAAAATGCTAAAAAACCCGAAAAATGTGCAAAAACATGGGGTCTCGGGATTTCGAATTGGTCCCGTGATTTTGGGGGTTACAAAAAATCGTCGAAATTCGTAGAAGCCGGAGGAAATTGGAGGAAATCGGCCGGAAACGGAAGAAATAATTAAACGCGTTTAAAAGAATAAAAACGTCCAAAATTTCCTAAAAATGACAATTATGAGGGATATTTACTGCCCGAAAATTCAGAGAAGGCGGAAATTAAAGTAAAACGATTTTAAATTGATGTTAAAACAAATATACTTCAACGTTTATTCAAATAGAATTAATTTATAGATGTAATCAACTAGAATAAGAGAAGCTTTTTCAAAATGACAATTATAAAAATAAATTTTTCTGAAAAATTATGCAACAAAAAATGTAAAAATTTAATTTCTTTGACCATAGATATTCATTAAAAATTAGGACCAAAAATAGGAGGTATCAATCTCCAAATTCTCCTGCATTCCGTGTGCAGAGGAAAATTCGGAAAACAGACGGCTCAGCGGGCCGAAAAGCCGCAATATTCGGGTGGTCATGGTGACGGGCGGGAGGGAAGAAGAAGCCACAGGGTTTGGCGTGGACTGGCCGTTGGTTCCCCCCACTTTCACAGGTCATTTTATAGGGCCCAGGGCGACAAAATGGAATCATCAAATCTCACAGTCAGGGTTGGATGATTTTTCAAAATTGAAAAAGCACTTTTCCGTTTGTAATGCTGGAAAACAGGTCAAAATAGGCACGGATTTGCCTATTGGAGTTTTCTTCGACGTCTTGAAAGGCTGACTTGATATGTCGTAGTGCGAGAGCTGGGGATTGTTTGAGGTTTGGAAGAGCGGATTCAGAAACGTGCCTGGTACCGTACCGTCAAGAGAATCGGCGCGGAATGCGAAATCCGAAAATCTGGATTTAGGGCTCGGATGGCAGCCATTTTTAGCAAAACCGGTGAGAATGACGATGACGCTTTGAGACGTCAAGCGGAAAATCAAAATACCAACTATCTTAAGAACTACGGTAGGCAAATCGTGTCTCCTGAAAATCGGGCTTCTGAAGGGATCTCTGCTAGCCTGCCCGCAAGAATTCAATTCGACGATCCGTTCGTTTGCGGTGTCGAGAGTCAAGCATCCTTAAGCTGTTTTTTTTGACAAATTCCTGAGGTGTCACCACCCCTTGAAAATCATGTTTACTGCATTTTCCACATATAACCGATTACGACACCTAAAACCCCTCTATTACCTTCGAATTAAGAATTTACAGGCTAAAATCGCCCCTGATTCCATTCAACCCGATTCTCGACCCTCCGAACCTGATCAATTCTCTGCATTCCGAGGAATCGAACCCTGGAAACCGGATGAATTCCACGCATTTCCGGGGGTCCCGCCGCGGAGATTGGATATGTTGGGCGACTATCAGATGGGCCTTCCGAGGGCCAATACTGCCACAACAGAGTCGACAATCAGGGGATCGTCCTCCTCCCGTTTGGCCTCCCCTGCCGTTGGATGCTAATTGGATTGTTTGGGTGGATAGCCGGCAGCGGGGATTCGACATCTACCACTTGCGCCAGATTGCCGCTGGACCACTACCGTAATCCGTTGAGCGTTGACCTTAGCGAGAACCCGCTGTAATTCGTCGGCTTCCCTAATCCCAAATTCCGAACCTGGACTATCTACCGGAATCGTTCATTAGAGGTAAGCTAGTTAGATTTTCGGATTTTGTCCCTGGGATTACGGTAGCTTAAGCACAATGTCATACGGTAGAATACGGCGTCATTTGTACCCCAACGGAGCTTCATTTCAAAGACTACGCGGCCTTCCAATTGACGATTTTTAGTCACAGGCATATAATTTGAGTATTTTCCGTTCTGCCCCTTAAAATTCAAAATTGAAGTAATTTTTGAGATTCCAGGGTACGATACTTCATCAAAAAAGCAGCCGTAATTAGTATAAACATGTAATTTTTGCATATTAAAAAATGTGGCCTTAATTTTTAGAGCAATTCTCAGGTACGGTAACAGCTCCATTTTCAAAACCCATTACCGACCGTATTTTATTTCTAAGTCCCCAAAATTCACATTAACCGCATAAAATGCCGTAATTAGATGATATCACACGTTAGGCCGTTACAAATTTTCGTTATTCAAAAAATTCGTTGGGGGAGCGAATTTCTACGGTCTTTGGGTAAAGGAGTAATACAAAAAAAAAATGTTAAACCCATTCCAAAGTACTCCAATTCCCTAAATTCAACACTACCCGTATAACATGGCGTAATTAGTATAATCTGGTATGTTGTGATCCGTCAAGCTGGCGATAATCTCGGGCGGGGGCCCTCCAATTTGGGTGCCATGTTGTAAGTGGTTGTGTGAAGAGGGGGTCGCTCGTCAGGGAGAAGACAGTAAGGGCTGGGTGGACATTTGCAAGGGGTGTAGCGCGAAATACCGTAACCCTAGGACTAGGTGCAACAAAACCGCAAGAAAATCATAGAAAAACTATCCTTTTTTAGCGATGGACTACGGTGGGTATTTTGCGGGCACGCAGACGACGTCGGGGAGTGCGACGGCTAATGACAGTCCGACGGTTCCGAATCCGTTTCAGGTCGGTTTTGAGGGCAGGCTAGCAGAGATTTTTGAGGAGTTGCAAAGTTAGCTAGGAAAATTTGAATTTTGGGAATTTCTAGAAAATGGTAACGAGCTCCTTGACGAATTTTCTTGGCGGTGGAAAAATTTGAATCTAGCGGACAAAGAGGCGAAAATGTGGCTCGCTAGCTAGCAAAGCTGATTTGGTAATTTCGGGTATCGATCAAAAAAAAACGAATTTCGAAGGTGGGCAGGCTAACGGAGATCATTTGAGAATTTCAAGGAATTGAGAAAAAGCCCAACTTTTTGAAAGAAAGTGCAAATACACCCACAAGGCTAGCAGAGATCCGTGAGGAATTACACCTGCCATAAACAATCAGGGAATTTTGAAAGTGGGCAAGCTAGAAGAGATCATAACTCTATCAAAATCCCTATAAAAATCCAGCTCCAGATGACAGCCGCCAACCTGAATTTCGCTGCCACCCAGTCCGGCTACGCGGCACACCAATCTCCATTGTACGGCCAGTACGCGAATCCGTACAGTTTGGCAAGCCGGTGCGCCAATTTTCACTTTCATTATCCACATTGCCATCAGCTCGCTTCCCAACCAATCAAACGGTGTGTATCGACAGAGCACCGAGCAGCTGCAGGCCTTCTTTAATACCGGTAATAGCATAAAAGTTGCGGAAAATGCCGTACCCTATCGTAGGCCTTCAGTATCAGCTGTACGGGAAGTCGGTGTCGGAGGGGCTACGTGGCGGGGTGCTGCCCGGGTTGCCGAGTTCCAGTCTTGTTGGTGAGTGGCGGGCCAAACGCTAAAAATGTTAAAAACCAGTTAAAATTATGATCGTCATAAACTAAAGCTATAAATTGATATTGGAAGTAGCACATGGTAACGAGAAATTTGTAAAGCCCGTTTTCAGGAGCGCTATGCGGTGGGAATCCAGCAGAACGCCGGAAACAGCGCCGCATTCGGACTACTTTTACTAGTGCGCAGCTAAAGGTAAGGTAAATGAAATGGAATTAAGGGGTTTCAAAGTACGGTGTGAATTTTAAAGATATCGGCTAGGTCGAAATCGTTTAAAAATAATTTTGCCGCTTTCACGTCACAAAATTTCAGGAGCTCGAGCGGGCCTTCATGGAGACGCACTACCCCGATATCTACACGCGTGAGGATATCGCGATGCGGATTGACCTGACTGAAGCTAGGGTGCAGGTAAGATTTCTAGAACCTCCAACAAAACCGAAAAAGCAAAATCCAGACCTCGTTTTCAGGTGTGGTTCCAGAATCGGCGAGCCAAGTGGCGCAAGCAGGAGAAGCTCAGAAAGTCGAAGGTGCGCTTCTGGATAAATCACAATCTACAAAATTTTTAGGAGGAGAACCCAGCAGACGCCCACGCCGACACTAGCCAAGTGGATGCACTAGATAGCAAAGATCATCTACTGATCGCTAGCGAATTGTTGCTCCCCTAACTTGACGACATCTTCAAGAAGTATCGAAGAGCTAAGACACTTCAAGCCATTCGTAAAATTATATCGTGCGTAACAATTTTCCACCTTCAAATTCATATTGTAAAGTTTACTAACATCAAATAAATGTTCAACATCACCACGGTCGCCCGGAGAAAACACGGGGGAGTCGACCGGCAAAGCGGGAGACATTTCTCGCCAGGGGGGAAGACAACAATTTTTAACTTAAGATTTAAATGTAAATCCTTAAAAAGAATGAGATGCGCAACGGTGGAGAATGGGGGGCCCGTCTAGGCGACGTAAAATGGTACGGATGGGAGGGGAATTCGGTGAAAACGGGGATTTGACATGAGAACAACCAACGGTAACTTTGGGAATAAATATGTTGGACGAGACGACGGAGCCGGCCGATGCAACAGAAAACAATCGACCGGTCACGGGGTTGCTGCGCGTCTTCTAGAAGGCGTAGCGTGTCCGGATGTCTTCCAGCTTTTTGATCAACTGAAAATAGAAAGATTAGGGTGGGATTAATGATTTTTACAAGCCACCGATCTGAGGCTTTAAAGGGATAAAGCCTAACTACCATAAAAATCGAATATGACAAGACTGTAGGTTTTCGCTAGGGATTTCCTATGTTTTTCGCCGCGACACGCAACGCGCAACACGCATTCCTGTTCGTAATTATTAATTGACGCCGTGCTCCGGCTCAGCAAAAAAACCATAGCCATGCTTTGTCTGTCCCTTTAAAATATCCATACCTCGTTCGGCGACTTGCCCAGCTCCTCGGCGATCGATTTCTGCTTCTGCGGGTCGATCATGGAATATTGCTCGCACATGTCCCCATCGATCACAGACTGAAAAAGAGGGACGTCTGGAAAAATTTCCTCAAAAAGCCGGCAGCCATCTATTTTTACGCCCATCAAACACGCAAGCAAATGCAGGGGCTTGATTAAGGCCGGGGGCTATCCCAAGAAGACCTGGTCCATAGCTCAAAAATTAACCTTGCACGGGTGGTAGTAGGAGCGGAACGACAGATGATCACGGCCACACAGCGGCGGGAATTCGACACGGAGGTGCATCTCGAGGTTTTGCAGCAAGTCGTGCTCCTGGAAAGGGCAATTTATTAGCCAAAAATTAATAAAAGAATCGCGTTCATTTTTCGTACGAAAGCAAATGGACGTAGGTGGCATTAAAAACATACCTCACGACTCATGAACGGCACGAGCATGCCAATCTGGCCACCAATCGTTGAGTAGACGAGAGCTTCACCAGCGCCCGGGACCATCGACGCCTTCTGGAGGGAGGTGATCATGTCGCCCACGTAGAACACAGAGATCATTTCGAGCTGGAAATAGTGAGTTAATATAAAAAACCGCGTTTTAAAACGGTACTCCGCTTTTAGTAGTTTTTGATAACTTAAAGGCCCCAAGCATTTTCATAAAATTTAAAAGCTTTCGATTTTTTAACGATTTTGATACGCGTGAAATTAAAAGTCAAGTTTTAATGATAATCCCACAACTTTTATCCTGCCAGATCCCTTTAAAAAGCACCTTTTGACTAGCCCCATTCAGCCATCCACGTTCCCAGAGCTGCTTGGTGCCGGTGGGGTCCTCGACGACGTCCTCGTTGACACGGTCGGGCAGACGGACCTGGAATTGAATTGGAATAATTGGGCGCTGGAATTTGGTCATTATTCACCAGGGCCCGCGCCCTATTCTCGCGACACAAAAAGCCCAATCAGGGTGCGGTGGCTACAAAACAATCCCCCACACACCTTCCCCCGTCCTCAAAAAGGACATTGCAGCCGTATGGGGGCTTTGAACTTCCGCGTAGGGAGGGCAACACCTTTAAAATTGGCTTTGGATCGGCGGCAATAGGGGGGTCGTGTGAGCCGTCTCGGCGGACAGGGCCAGGGTGGGCAACAGCTTTGTTATTCCTTTTTGCCTAACTGCCCAGCTACGGCGGCGGCATCTCTGCCCCGCACACGGTGACATTACCCATGCTCGATTTGCCCAAAAGTGCTTGATGGCATAATATTTTTTTATGTGGTGGGGGAGTGGGGCTTTGCCGGCGGGAATCTTTAGATATGTTGATGTGCGATGTTCCCAATGATTGTTCGATAAACATTAGGACTTTCTAATTTTCATAGTACAGAATGCCACACTTTTATCCATTACAATTTCCCCGTCTAAATTCACCCTACAACTTCCAAAAAATTACAAATTACACCGAAATTCTAGGAAGCATCCCTTAATCCCCCAGAATTCGGTGGACAACCCAAATTGAGCCATCGCCCTCATTCTATACATTCTCCCCACGTCTTCATCCATCAAAAAGGCCATCACAGATGGCCCTCCTCGCCCCCATTCCAGTTCAGGGAGTCCCCCAGTTGCAAAAAATAGCATAAGCCCCCCAAATGGCCAGCGTTAGGGGGCCCAAATATGTTCATTGAACATTCAGCCAGTCCCGCTAAGCGTGCCATCGTTCTCTCTATCTCTCTCTCGCTCGCCCTCTCGCTTTCTCTCGTCCATTAATCAAATGCTCCATAATGCTAATTGTACTCGCTGCACGACGACAGCAGCAGGGTCGGGGCTCGGGTTAGGTTGGTAAATATTTTTTGAGAATTCATAAATATGCATCCTTCTTTCGCCGAAAAAATTGACGTCGTTGGAGCCGGGAGACTGATGAATTGAATTCGATTTGCATTCATCAACTCGGCTATTCAGAAGCAGGGGGCTTCCCCTGGGTGCTCAGGTGTCAAAGATGACCGCCCGGGATAAACGGATCGCCACGGCACAAATTTGACTGCGCGTACATTTTTGGGTGTTTTGAAATACGCCAGACACCACTGAAAGAGACGAAAGTTCCCGCTAGGTAGGAAGTCGAGGAATTTTCGGGGGTCCCTAACATCCCGGTTTTTAGCCTGGCTTCTAGATCCCCCACGGCTACCACCTCGTTGCCGTTGCCACAACAAAAAGCGCGCGAAACGTCAAATTCAATTCTGAACCCCCTGCCACTTAGCTGGTTCTCCCCCCAGGGCCCAGCGCAGCAGCAAAAGTCATAAGAATGGGATATGTGTTGCCGAAACGGGCTTTGTTCGGCTAAATCTGTGGGAAGTCGGATTTCCATTTTCATCGTTGCTAGATGGTGACAATGAAATTCCCAAAAAGTGCATAGAGTTCGAAAAATTGCGGATTAAAGGGAGACGGACATCCTACGTGCACGCTAGATGGATTTTATCACGCAACCCCTTCCATTGCGTAACGAATTCCGACCGTATCACGCGGGCCACGCGGCGTGTACGTTGTACGCGTGTACACGGCCGCGGAAAAATCTATAGGATCTATAGCCAACCGAATCTAAAGAAATGCCTTTCAGGCCCTTTTAATCCAACCCCCTTTAACCCCTATACGTAACACAACACTCACCGCCCAAAAAACCAGCCACAAGTAGGCAAACCCCCGGCCTCAAACCTCAGCCTCCCCCAACCGATCTACCAAATTGCTTCCGTCTCTTGGGGTGGCAAATCCCAGGTGGTGGACCGAGCCGCGCGCTTCTCAGAGTTTTCGAGACGGACTGAGAGAGCCGCCCGGCAATTCACACGGCTATTTTCGGGGTGAGCCTCCCTCGCGGGTGTGATCGTTGTCGTGTTTAGATCCGGTCGCCTAGTTGAATGACGCGCGTCATGGTGCCGTACAACCGATCAGAAGAGGGTGTGAGATTATCAGCAACCTCAAAGATCGCAACCTTCTTCAAAATCGCAAACCCGCTCATACCTTTCCAAAGCATAACTGCTCAGGCAAGCGAGCCTTTTTTGAAATTTCACCCTTTACCTCGAGTTCATTAGCCTCGTTGAGGTCGTGGTCGCCGGCCCCTTCCCATCAATTCCCGGCCACAAAAAGGCAATTGCCCTGATTTGAGGCTATTCAGGTTACGGGAATTATGAATCAAGGTGTCGCCAGTCCCAAATTGGGCTCTTTTGCCGGGGATCAAAAAAACCCAAAAAGGTCTCAAAAATTCATAGATCGTGCCAGAGATCGCGCTAAACTAGAAAATCCGGGCAATTACCTAATTATCACGGGTTTCTAGTGTGACCTAGCGACTAAAAAAATTCGGGGGTGTTCAGAATTCATCTCCCCCCCCCCCATCACCAACACATCTGTGGGCCAAATATTTTCGAGACGAGCACCCCAAACATTATTCACCGCGTTCACACGGGCGAATTAAGAGTAAACGACTGGGTCCCCGGAGGGGAGAGGGCTTTCCCTTCGAAAAGCGAGGTCCCCTGCCTGGCCAGTCAAAAAACAAAAGCCTAATCGGGTTAGGGGTCGCCGATCCTCGCTCGGGGGAGCGAACTCTGGGTGGAAGAAGCTCTTACTGGGGCCATCCCTGGTGCCGTGGTTTGTGCAGGAAGGCTAATTGTTTCTTGGAAGTGTTTGGATTTAGTGACGTATGTTGGAAAGAAAATTACCCCCGCGCAACTTTTCCGGACTTTTACATCATAGTGAAATTTCATGGCGGAAAATTTTCACTATGCAGAAAATCGACTGGCTAATACCCGATCGCGGTGCCATATAAAGCTCAAACCGTCGAAATCTTTCGATATAATGGAAAATGTGCTTACTGAATGATTAAATTTACAGATTGAGGTATAGAGATTTTCGGTATAACGTGAATAAATCCTATCCAACTTTTCTAAGACCTCTTCGTCCACGTCTAGCTCACCGCGGCTTTCTACCCCCCAAAAACCATCGCCTCCTATTCTAATGAATGTTTTCCGTGCGAACTAATCGCCCGGCCGGCCGGCGGCGTCCCCCGGTAGCCCACCAATCTATCTAGGACCTCAAAAAGGGACCCCTCCCATTAGACGGACCAAAGTTCGGGAGCACGACCACAGAGTTTCAGACGTTTCAGCGCAAATGGATAAATAGGTTCACGTACGCGCCGGGATTTTCATGGCGTGTTCGATTCACCCACTTTAAAACTTGCATGTAATCGTGAAGAGATTTTTTGACTAAGCTTCCATGCTCCTTTAAAAACCACCAACCAAAGCCAATCGTTTGCAACTCTCAACCGCAAATCCCACCCCACCAAGGCGATCACTCCCCATCCCCAAGTGATCGTTTCAGCCCAACAAAAACACGAACTCCCCAAGGACCCCCTTCTAAAGAAGGGGGGCGGTTCCAAGCTATGGGTGGAGAAGGAGGAAAAGGCATGGGGGTCGAAGCCAGGGGAGAGCCCCTTTCTCGACCTCCTCCTCATCCTCCTTCTCCCCCCAGGGTTCCGACATCCGGGCCAATCCACCCGTCTCTCCCCCTCTATTCTTGTGCTGTCGACAGGGGGAGCCCGAGTAGAGCATAAGCCTTGTGGGCCGTCACCTTTGTTGCCGCGTGAAAAGACATTTGAGCAGCAGGCAAAAGAGACTGGCCAAGGAATGGGGATAGCCGGTGGCGGGTCTCTACACTCTCTTCGATGCTTATCCGCACTCGGGGGCCCCGTGGGGGTTGTTTTGGGTGATTTGTGTCCTATTCTCGGATGACAATCTCGGGAACAGGGGTTTTGTCTCTAGGAATTGTCTAGAAAAACGCCCTCTGATGTCGTCAGTCTTTGTTCTCAAAACTTATTGCTAAAAAGAATCTAGAGCATCCTGCAGCCAGTTTTCTCGACACTCGATACATTCGACCAGGCAACTTATTTTTAACGACGTATGCTAGGCCATTTACTGGTTTTCAAAAAGGTTTTCCTGGGCTTTCTATGCATTATGAACATTTTGGGCAAATTTTAAAGGAACTGGGAGGTTAGGTAGATTTTGCTCCAAAATTGGCTCCCCTTTATTTAAAAAAATTATTTTTTTTGCGTAATTCCAGTTAGCCCCAATCCAAAATGATCTCCGGTTCCTCACACCCAACCCTCTAAAAATTCAGGGCTCGTTGCTACGTATGTTCCATCCTTCCATTCTTGTCTGTTCTGGGCTCGGAGACAAGTGCTATGCTTTGCATAAATTATCTAGCCCAGATGCCAATAGTCTTTGCCGCTCCGTTAATTTTCTAGGATTTAATTTTAAAGGTTCTAGGCCTGGAAATACCGTGTTAGATGAGTAATGCAATGATCCTCTCGCTCGTGCTCGAGAGCCCCATCCCCATGCTTCTCGCGACTAGGTGGCCAAATTGGCAAATTGCTCCTAGGCGTTGCGAAGCGCGGTGAATAGCGACCAGAATCACAGGGGTGCCTGGGCTTTTTTATGTCGGTGATCCCCCGAGGCCGACCACCTAGCCGCCGGGCCATTATTTAAGAGCTAGATTCGTTGAGAGAGAGAGAGAGAGAGAGAGAGAGAGAGAGAGGCATAAGGTGGCAGTGTAGTGTATCAAGTGTCCATTAGCCATGCCACCCCGCGCAATTTTGCTCTCCTGGGCGGCAGAGAGCGGGGCCAGGTCGGCGATCGCCGGCCAAACGGCGTGGCTACTTGAAAACGTTCGGAATTTTCCTCCGTCATCCAGGTTTCGCCTCCTACGCTCAAAACCGGGAGGGGCCTTTTTTTAATTGCACCGAATCCCTTAACCTCGAATTCTATAATCCAGTATCCAAATCATATTATCGATGGACAATTTTTACTTTTTCTTAAATCTTTGGCTTTTTCATTGTTAAGAAAAAAACCTATTTTTCACTCATTCGGCATTTCGAAACTTTGGTTCTCACAGTATAACTCATGGTATCGGATCGAGTGTAAAAAATCTAGAAGAAAAAAATCGTTCCATTGATAAGCTAATTTGAATCCGAGGCTTCGAATTCGGAATTTTGGGCGCTCGGGGTTTCAATTTCGGGGTTTGAGAATCGAGCGTAACATGAACGGCCCCCCCCGGTGTTTTTTTTTTTTTTTGTTTTTTTTTTCTTTTGCCCGAAAAAAACCGTAAACTTTGAGACCCTTCGGCTGTGGTGGGGGGAAAACCCTTCCGTACTACTTGAAAATGTTCGCAATTTTCTCCCTCCTCCAGATTTCCCCTCCTACGCTCCAAATCGGGCGGGGGAATCCCCTGGCGGCCCTACTTAAAAACCCCCCAGTCGTCAGTTCGCTAATCCATGAATCGATGCCAAATATACCCACATTCTCTGTTTACCGCCGGCTACACCAAATAGGTGGCGGAGTGGGACTCTGAAGCTGCTATTGCCGTTATCCGGGATTTATAGGGGGCAGGGTGGCCCACACAGATACACATGGGATTGGCGTGACCACCCTTCATATATGCAAACAGGATTTGGAGTCGCCGGAGGGGTGGCAGACGAAAATAGGAAGGCCAAAAGTCAAAAAAGCGACGCTGGGGCGTAGGTAAAAAAACGGCGGGGCTGGATTTTGTGAATAACTGAAGCGCCATAATTTAATTAAATCTTAGCTCCAATTTTTCACACCTTACAGCGCGCGCGATTCCTATCTAAACAAACCCCCCCTCCCCCAACTTTTCAACCTTCCAAATAAAATCGTAAGCCAAACCTACCACTGCTACACTGCCAAATTTGTCGCCAATGGCCACCGTCTGGTAGTCGAGCATGCAGACGGCCGTAACGTATCGGGGTGTCGTGTCGTCGCAGAAGACGATCAGCTGGTTCTCCTAGAAAGGGAAAAATTAGTTGTTGTTTTAAAACAGAATTTCGTAAAGTTTGGGTCCTTCGGTTGCCCTTTCATTTATAACCACAGTTTTTCCTTTACCTTTTATTTTTTAAAGTAAAATCTTCGAAAATCTGTATTTTCGAAAAGTCATTTTTCGACAAATTACATCGATATTTACGCGATTTTTGGCGAATATGGTCTTTGATAACTTGTCGCTAGAGTGATTTCGGAAAAAGCGAGTTTCTGAGATATGATTTTCGAAAATGCGCATGGAAATACTTTCCCCATTCTTTTAATTTTTGACCACCGCTTTTCTTTGACTCTACCCCCCTCCCCTCCCCAATGTTATGGCCTAGAGTCAACGCAGCAAAAACCCCCCATCCTATACCATGTTCTCTGCTCGACACGGCCAAAGGCCCCCCCGGGCTAAGTGAGGCCGTGTGACTCGGATAAATACGAGTCGACGACCCCCGTGTCCGCCTCCTCCTCCGCCTCAAAAGTGTGTATTTGGGCGCGAAGCCTAATAAGCAGCTGGGGCTCTGTTCCTTCTCCTCCTCCTCCTTCATTCAACCCTGGTCGTCGTCGCATCTTCAGGCCCCCATTTTTTCAGCCCTTCCATCCTAATGGGGGCCCCGTCCCGCTCAATGTCTGGCCACAGGGGGATGGGTATTATTTTTCCGTGTACGGGGCCGGCCGGGCGGGAAAGAGGCTAATTTGAGATCCCGGTTTTCGGCGGCTATAATTCGACGGGTCTCGTGGCCGGGGACGGAGAGCTTTTTGGGTCCGGATCAAAGAATGGATTACTGGCGTTTTTGCCGTTTTAATTTTAGAAGAAACAAACAAAAAATTCCAGATTTTCTATTCTTTATTTTCCTTGATAACCCCGATTGTCTTATTTTCTTAGGTCCCAGGCAAGCCCCTTCCGAATTTCAAGAAAATCCCCAGGTTCATTACCCGGTTTGCCCCGGCAGAATTTTGATGTTTCCGGCCCGATTCCGCAAATTATCGCGCTCAATTTACGGGGAGCCCAAATCGGGCAAGCCTATCAACACAAAAATCATAAAAAAACAGCGCGCGCGCCCCTAATAACAGATTGAAATGGGATTATCGCGGGCGGACAGAAATAGGGCATGTCGGTCCTAATCTCGGCGGGACCCAATTGAGGGCGGGGGATCGGTAAAGAAATTTGGACTCGGTGGGATTTATAGGTTTGGACTCTTTCTCTTCGTTTCTCACTGGCTCTCTCTCTATCTATCTCTCAATAGCCGCCCTCTAGCTGCAAAGCATCAATGATGAGGGATTATAAATGGGTGGGACCGGCACCAACTAGAACTCCCCGATGCCTCCGCCTCCCCCAAGATTCATTGGCTTCTTTCGCGCCCACCACTAATTTTCTCGCCTCAAAAAATGAGCAACTCCCAGTTTTCCGCAGCTCCAGCAGACGCACCTATTTTTAGAGGCGTTTATTTTTGCACCACCGTTTATGCAAGCCCACTTTTCTGGGAAAGGGCACCGTAGTTTGGGAAAATCAGTGGCAAATTGGGGTATTTACGGCTGGAGTAGAAAAACGTCACGACCCGCTTGTAGGAACACCGGGCCGTACCGTAATGAGGCCCGTAGTGTGAAAATGCAGCTGCCCTTGGCATCATGACCTGCTCGTCACTTTCCGGGGAACCGTCGTGTTCAAAATAAGAGCATGTTGTTTCCGCGACCATCCCATCCCCATCAACACATTTCCGGTACAATTTTGTGTCAAGGGTCAGGATTTCCGTTTGATTCAATTAAATTCTCAAGTTTCACTTTTCGGAATTTGTCAGATTAGAATGTTTGTAGCGGACGACTATGAAAAAATATCGAAAAATTAGAAATTTTAACTTAAAATCCAGCATTAAAACTTTTTTAATAATTTTCCCGTATTATGAGGCGGTCCCGAAATGGCATCCGATTTCACGTGGGGGGTTTCCCAGTAAAAAAAAGCGCGCTCCCAGTGCAATTCGGCGCAGGTCTTCACCAGCCACAGCCACACCCCAATCATTCATCATCGTTGGTATTCATCAACGGGGCCCCGATCCCTCCAACATTCATCCCCCTTTCCCCCCTTCCTACTAGCCGCTAATGAATTTGATCCGAGGCGGCTATGCTTCGTCCCCCCTTCTCTTGGGTGGTGCTCGATTCTCGCCTGAAAAATGCGAGCACAGCCTCCCGAATTCTCAGCCTCCCCTTGCTGCTCTCTGTGTCCATAATCTAATGCATTCGGCTTGACGATGAGCCCAGGGTCTCTCTGCCGGCTTCTGTCTAGGCAATGGGCCCCTCCCTAAATGCTATCCATTCGCCGTCGGTCAATGACCTTTTTGTGTGTAGGAAGAAAGAAGAAGACTGATGTAAGGCAGAGAAAAATGGCTGCATTATCTTTAGGGGTATGCTTGCTAGCTAGGCTGGGGCAAAATTTAAAAAATTTCGGAAATTTATAAATTCTAGCTAGTAGTGAGCGAGATTATCAAAAAAACACCAGTGGCTTCCAAAACGCGTCAAAATTATTTTATAAATAACGACTTATTAAAGATCTATGATTTGTTTTTACGAAACCAGCTCCGAGCTTTTTCATCAAGCTTCATCAAACGAATATATTAGCGGTTTTTAAAAATCCGCTAATAACTTTTTAATAAGGCTTTACTAAAACCGGTTTATTATTGGTTTTTAAATCGGTTATCAATTTTTATGAAAGCTTAATTAAACCCATTATTGGTTTTAAAAACCCAGCTAACAGCTTTGTTAATAATGTTGCCATTACCTGGTCCTATCGATTTCCCACCTAACCCCACAACTACCAATGCCCTCTAGCAACTAACAGACATTCGCAGCAGGGCACACCATTCAACCGAAATAACGGCTACGCGTAGAAAGACCCGATTTCCGGTTCCGGGTCCCACCATGCCTTCCTTGCAACCCGGAGACTTGGCGGTGTTGCTGTGGCAAATTTTGGGCGAAGAGGTGAGGCGGATCGAATACTGGGAAAGCGCGCACCGCCTTCTGCTCGAGGCTCAAAAATGCGCATTCAGGCGATAGATGTCAGGGGGCACCGTGTTCCTTCTCCACCCGCCAAACACTTCCCCGTTTTGCTTCTCAGAACCCTGGCCCTTCATCGAATTTCGTTTTTCGCTATTCTTGGAATCACAGTGTAGCCAGGTCATTTCCGCTTTCCCCTTCCCGCTATGTTTGCCAGCCTCTGGGCGCGCTTGAAATCGACGAGTTGATGAGGCTTTTTTGGGAAACCGCAAAAAACCTGCGGGGAGCCAAAAAATAGTCCGTTCTGCAGACCCAGCGCGACCCTTTGGCCATGTTGCACCGGCGAGGTTAACAGAAAAATTTGCGCAGCTGTAATTGCCCGAAATAGGGGAGGGGCTTTCCCGCAGAGGCAGAGACATGGCCGCGCACACACAACTCCAGCGCCTTCCCCTATTATTTTGCCACTTCCGGGCGACCAGTCAAGGCTTTTGGTTCGCATTAGGTTGATCCTGGGGTACTGGCCGGCACCGGCCATTTTGAAAGGTTATTTAATAATTTTTATGGACTTTTTGTTTCTAAAATAGGCACAAAAATAGTTTATATTTCATTATCAGACACCTACGGAAGCATAGGAAAAAATTTCTGCCACCCCCCCCACGCGCTGACGCACCAGAACCTTTGAAACCATAAAGAAAAAACTGACCGATCTCCTGTAGCGGACGAAGTGGATCGATTCTTGGACGTCGGAGACGACGATGCGCTGGCCCATTGAAGTGATGCCGCAGATGGAGTTGGGGAACGTCTAAATTTAGATATTATGATCGCCATTTTTCCACTTCTTTCCATTCATTACCATTTTCATACTTTCCGATCCCGAAACCCATATTTTCCCCATGATCAGCCTCCAAGATGATTCGTTCCCCCTCTCATGAGACTCTTAATCTGCATTTCCGGAAGACCTAGGCCCGGAAACGCCAATTTTGGACCGGGCCGGCGTGGCCAGGGAGTCCATTTGACCCACCCGGGGGTTACGGTGGTTGTTTTGGTCAGGGAAAATCAAAACTTAATGCTGAAAAACAGCGCGAAAATCGCTAGTCTAGTCCGATCTATAGAATTCGGGTTCCGGTGGCTGTTTACGTCCGAGAAAAACCAAACTTCAGTCCTCAAGAAAATAGAGCAACAATCGCCTAGCCTAGTCTAGTCAATTCTATAGAACTTGCTAATTCGCGGTGCCAGACTTTATTAATTAGCCCTACACACACCTACTCCAGGCCAAACAACCCTATTTGCCCTCCCCAAAAATAGGGCGATCCCCCGGGGGTTTGGCTGGTCCAAACATACCATATATTACGAGTACGACTCCCATCTCCCCAGTGTAAATGCCCCGTGGCCCTAATTATAAACGGCGGGGCAGTTGTGTATTTGTGAGTGAGTGTGGGGGAGGAGGCTCACTCTACGTGTTGACGTGCAAGTCAAAAGGCCCGTCAACAATTTTCATCCCGACGTCCCCGAGAGCCTCGTCGTGTCGGCAGGCTCCCCTTGAATATTCTATTGATTCATATTTTGCGACCTTTCATTAAAGCACGACCAAGCGTCTTCTCTTTCTTTTCGCGCCTTTCTTCTGCGCGTACAATGGACGTGCGAAGCAGGAGAGGTAACAATTTTATTGAGAGCCCCCTCCATTCGTTGGCTGTTCCTTGTCCTTTCTGAATCTCATTCTTTTCATGAGAACCACGTCAAAAAAGTGGTGTCCGGCCAAAACAGAAGCGCCGAGTGAACTACAGGCGTACCCCCTGGGGGAGGGGGATGTCGTGAAGAATGGCCCGGTATTTATCTTTCCCCAGGGCACCTCCTCCTCCCTCCAAAAGCGGCCCCCGTAAATAGCATCATCGCTTTTGGGCTATTCCAAGAAATCAGAGCCCTCCCACTAGCTGCCGCCCACACCTGCCCGTACGGTTTTCACCTGTCACTTTCGGGCTGAAGAGCGGTGCCGACCAGTGTTATTTTTGAAGCTAGATGTGTTTTTGAGCTGCTACCATCGAGCGGCTGTAGGTTCTGGTGCATTAGCGGGGGGATGCTAACTATGGACTATGTTCCCCTCGGCTTCTACAATCAAATAGACATCTTTTTAATAGAATTTTACGTCGCATTTCAAACCAAATCAAAAAAATTTGAAAAATAAAAATGTCGAAAACTATGAATTTTTCATCAAATCTATGTAAAACGGCCAATTTTTAAGAGTTTTGCAAACTTTTTAGTCTTCGGAGCCTACTAAAAAGATAAAAATAGTTATTTTGTTTAATTTTATTACGTTGGAAGTTAAGCTAAGCCCCCGCTAACACGCCAGTACCCAGCTGTGTCCAGCCTGGGCTGCCGGAGGAAGATGGTCAAACCCCGTTCCATTATTCAATGATGGGGGGAGTGGCGCCGGTTTCCGGGGGGCCCGCCAATGAGATTAGCGCAACTACTCTTGAGGGGGGCTCAGATGGGACCCCCCCCTTCCCAGAGCCTCATCGTCGGCCCCAAGGCTTCGCAGCCCAGCCCGAAGACTAGAATCCAACACCAAGTTTCACCTCCCAATTATGATGAACTCATGTCAGCAGACTAATTAGTCCTCCCAAGCCCTGGGGCAGCAATATTTTGCAGTTTTTGAAGTGCAACTGCTGCATGAGAGCAATTTTATGGCTTTTATATCTTCCTACTACCTCTGCCACGTGGCGTTTATTAGGCCTGACTAGCCCAGACAAAAATAAAGCCACCCCAAAACACAATATTTGCTGTCAAGATTTTAACCTAGATTTCAAAAACAATTCCAAATAAATGTTGCCCCCCTTAAACCGTACAATTTTAATGCCAAGGCAAAGGCGGTGGGCTGCCCCCCATTGCCCCCTCTCCACCACTAATCAACGGCTTCGTTAATAAGCGCTTTCCCCCCGCCAATAATGAGCTTGGTTACCCGGCATTTAGAGAAGGCCCAACTTTTCCGCGAGCCACCCTACTTGAGGGCGTGTTAATAACAGGCGGATTCTCACGCATTTTTCGCCACCAAATTGCCATTGTCGCACTCTTGGGCTGAACAGCCGCCATTCGTGGAGTTACAATGTTCATTCCCGAGTTCTGTTAAGCTTCGTTATCCCGCTTATTAAAAATCAAATAATTTAGATAAACTGCCACAGTTCCGCGCCACAACGCGATGACGATCGACAGTGACGGGACTACCATTGGCGTAGATTTTACGGCGACTGGGAATATTTCTAATGGGTCGCAGTGCACCTTCTACACGTGGAGTCGGCAGACCAACTCAGCTGGCTTCCTCCGGATCTTCTCCACCATTTCGGTGTTGACGGTCCTGGTGGTGGTTGTTGTGCTGGGAAATGCGATGGTAATTGCCGCCGTTTTGCTGCGACGACGCCTACGCTCGGCCACCGGGCTACTCATCCTTTCTCTGGCGTTTGCCGATCTTTTGGTGAGTGGTGGGGGCGAAGATCAAAATAGACTATTCGGAAGACTGTTGATAGAAACCTCGAAAAATAAATTCCTTAAATTTCCAATCGCGAAATTCCCAGACTAAAACCAACCCATCTAGGAATGCATCCAGGTTATGTAAAAAAATTCTGACAAATTTAGCTTTTGAACTCCCTGAAGTCAGCAGAACTATCTGATCCAAAAATAATTACCCTCTAAAATCACCTCCTTCAGGTCGGCACCGTCATCCTGCCCTTCAGTATTGCCAACGAGGTGCTGAGCGAGTACTGGATCTTTGGCCAGACGTGGTGCACGATGTGGGTGACAATGGACATTTGGATGTGCACCGCATCCATCTACAACCTCGTCGCCATCTCCATCGACCGCTACATAGCCATCATCAAGCCGCTCAACTACCCAATGCTGGTCACGAAATTCCGTGCCCGTTGCATCGTCGCGTTCATCTGGGTCTCGTCGTTCCTCATCTGCTCGCCATCATTTATACTAGCGTCTACTGCAAAAGAAACTGGCAACTGTAAATGCACACCAGCGGACGCTGGTCGTGTTTACGTCATATTCAGTGCTAGCAGCAGCTTCTATATTCCGATGATTGTCGTTATATTCGTCTATATGAGAATTTATATTGCGGCCAGGGCGGCGACAAAGAGCATCTACAGCGGGATGATGCAGGTGACAGCGAACGCGAACAAGAACGCCCGCAGCTATCTGATGAGCCATCCAACGGCTATCAACAAAGAATCGCTGCCGATGTTGCGAGTACATCGTGGCTCAAATGTCGCCGCGTTCAAGACGTCAGTGTGCGACAAGACGAGGTGGGGCATTTTACCTTAGTAGGGTGGTTCTAATGGAAAAATAGTTGAGTCGGCAATTATTCATTATTTTCAGAAACGGCAGCGGTTCGCCCTGCATGCTCACCAGAAATCCGGCCAACGTCTCCAAGGACGGGCTGCCGACCTACGAACAAACCAAGGCCGACAGTACAATGCCAGAGCGGAAATCCACTACCGGCTCTCAGGGGGCTCTAGCTTGTGCCAAGGCAATTCCCGAGCGATCGAGCACTGAGTCGGAGACGAGTCCATTGGGGTGAGTTCGAGCTACAAGGCGTAAATTGGGCCTCCCAATTCCCCCCGGCTGAATCATTGCCCTCAACGCGCCCTTTTAGAACACCGACAAAATGCGAAAAAACGCTGCTCGAGCAGGACGAAGATGAGGTGACAAAGAAGCCGACGGGGGGCTGGCGTCCCAAGAATCCATTGGCCAGGCTGATGAGGCGAGCGCCAAAGAACAAGGTATGTAATTGGACTTTACATCAAAGTATCGAGATTTCATAAAAGGGAACCCGCGAATATCGAAATTCAATACGTTGAAGTTTAAAAAAATGCCAGCATTCGGAAATGTGGGCATTTAAAACAATCCACCGCGTCTCCGCATTCAGCAACCATAGAACAAATTACAGGTCGGCGGCGCCTACGAAAAACGCCTCTCCCTCGAAATCAAGGCCGCCAAAACCGTGGCCATCGTCACAGGCTGCTTCATCCTGTGCTGGCTGGGCTTTTCCCTGGTCTACGGTCTAAACCTAAAGACCTCCCCCGTCATGTGGAGCATCCTATTCTGGCTCGGCTACCTAAATTCGGCGCTGAACCCGGTCATCTACACCGTGTTCAACCGCGAGTTCCGCATCTGCTTCAAGCGGTTGCTCACTTGCCACCACCTCAATCACACGACCAACAACGTCAAGACGGTGGGTGTTTTTTGGTACATGAGGGAGGGGATTCTAAGAACTCTCGCGAAGGGAATCAGTGAGGATTGGAGTTTATGGGAAGGGGGCGCCCAAGTTTTTCGCACGCTTACTTGGGAAAAACGCGGAGGACTAGCTGATGAGTAAGTGGAGGGCCACTATTTTGGAGGGGAGGGGGGTTGGAGGAAGGAGCACAAGGGTGAATGCGGAAGTGCGGCAAATTGGGGCTGGGGCTCAGAGTTCTGGGTTAAAATTTTTAAAATGAGCAAAGCATTTGAGCTCAAAATAGGATTTTCGAGTTCTCCAAATTTCGAGATTATTATGGCTTCAACCAGCTTTAAGAGCTTGATCTTGAACTTTTGATCCAAAAACCTATATTTTTCAGTACACCAACAACACCAACAACAACTCGTACAACAGCGCGGCGCGGCCGGGCGCGCTGAAGACGCAGCGCAACTCGTCCCCGCCGCACATGTACGCCTACACCCCCTCGCCCCTGCCAACCACCGAGCCAACCCCGAACCGTGATCTGTAGCGCTTGATCTCCAAATGATTCTATTTTTTTTGCTACTCACTTCTCTATTATTTCCCCGACTATCGCAAATCAAATCAAATCCAATACCGACGGGTCAATTTACGAATACCCACCCAGCATCTCGTGTCCGCTAACTTATTGTACTCCCCCAAACACCACACTTTAAACTGGTAGGCCATGATATCAATATTTTGAAATGAATAAATTTTCATTTAATTGATACTTTGCAATTTCGGTGCTTTCGCAATATCAGGGGGCAGCTATCTTTTTTCTTGATTAGATCTAGTAAAATGTCTAAAAATCCGAAATCTTGCCAAAACGGGATTTTCAAAATTAATAATAATTGTAAAATTCTTACGTTTAGGGATCGTAGAAACTTGTGTAAAATAAATACTCTATTTTTATTCTAAACATTGGATTCTTAAGAATTCTTAAGAATTGGATTTTTATCCCGAATCTATTCATTTCTGTTCAATTACACATCACATACCCAATTTCCATTCCTTTAAATACATCAAGAACATTTTTTTTACAAGAGTGCGAGACATCAGCGTCACAATTTTTGATATCAAAAAGTACTAGGGGAGCATTTCCCGATAAGCTCCGCTGCGCACGCTAAACGCGAGATCAAAACAAACTCTTCGCGAACGCGTTGGCCACTTGTGAATTCCGCGAGGATCGCGTGCTTCCAGAAAGTTCCCTCGAAAGCTCTTCCACCCATTAGAACGCAGACACTACTTTATGGCGTGCCAAGCGGGGAGAGCAAGTAGCCCCGGAGATTTACTCAACCCACATCAATATTCATGTAGGGGATAGCTAGCTGCTATTTCTGGGCCGCGAATCGGGTGGAAATAACCGGAATCCGATTGACCAATCGGGGGGATTCCCCCGAATATCCATGAATAACTACTACCAACGATGAAGCAAAAGAAAAAGTCGGAAAATTTTTATACCTTATTCTCGCACTTGGCCAGGAGCTTGCGCTTGCCGAAGTCGTACATCCGCAACCGCTTGCCCAGCGCCACCAGGGCCACTCCGCGGAAGTCGTGCAGCGCGGTGACGGGCTGGAAATTTTGGGTAAGCCAATGGGTACTAAAGAAAAAAAGAAATGCAATCTGGAAATCCTGATTCCCACATTTTTCAACGTGTAAAAACACGCTAATATTAAATTTGGAGCTGTTCTGGCGACGCCCTTTAACACACCTCATCAGTCGGTGTCCGGTGCACCAGGTCGAACTTGTCGCCGGTGTGGCTGAGGAGGAAAGTGTAGATGCAACCGCCGCGATGGCTGAACGGCCGGAGGCGCATGTTGATTCCGCAGCCAACGAGCACCATCAGCGTCTCGGGTTGTGTGTGGAATTGGATCAGGGTCATGCTAAAATGAGGGTATGACTCTACAAAAATCTTGCTATACCATTTTGCTGCCTCGTCTTGCGGCAACTCGAACATGGCATGGATGTCGCCGGTTTTCGGGTTGATTAGCCGAATGATCGAGGCCCAACGAGCTAAAATTAGGAAGGTTAAAAAAATTATTAAATCGTTGATGCTCACGATGATTTTCTACAAAGAAAAAGAACTAAATGATAAAACGAACCAGCAGCTCCTTTGACCGTTCCGAAGACGCTCTCGTCCAGCTTCGTATTCCTCATGCCGTCAGCAATCTCCTGGGCCAGCTCGCGCTCCGTCTCATCGGTGGCCAGGCTTTCAATGTCCTAAAAAATAGTTAAAATGGAGCGCAAAGCTTCATCTTACATTGGCCATATCGTTTCGCTTCTTGTTCTTCATCACTTCTGTGTAGGTGGCGTGGTCCGTTTCAATGGTCATCATCGTCAGGGCGGTCGGGTGAATGACGAACCTGAAGCGGTAAAACTAAAAAGTCAAACAATATGGACCATCCACGTTTTAAGCGGATTTTTTAATTAAAAAATTATCGAAAAACACACCTCCTTGGCGTGAGCGACATCTTGTGTGCAACCTCATTGAACGATCCGCCCAGCTTCTCGACGGCCAAGATACTGAAAAATGGAATTGGCTCCTGGCCGCCAGACAAAAGCCAAATTCTCCAAAAATCAAAACGGTTGTAGAAAGATTGATAGGAACCGATAGCGGTTGGATCACTAACGGTACACGCGCCTTTCACATTATTCTAGCACATTCCGTATCTATTGCTAGACCGGGGCTTGATTCGGATGGGGTTCACTTCCCATACGAAATTGCCATATGCAAGCAGCGGCCGGGGGTCGAACCCGCATAGGTTGGTGCGTGGGGCGAGAGCACAACCAATAAGCTAGAGGGTTAGGTGTCCGTCGGTCTTGGAGGGTCTTGATAGACCCATGACAAACACGCAGATGTCGTTTACACCTTTTCGGCGCCATAATGCCGAACCATTAAAAGGGGTAGGACGGCAGTATCGAAAATGCCTGTTGACCCCCCATGCATTTGCAACGAACCCCCATATAATCTTTATAATTAAAAATTATGAAATTCTAATACAACGTACTTTTTACGGCATCCTTTCTAAAAAAGCGAAAATAAGATATCCCTCAAATTCGAGTATAATTTCGTCCCTTTTTGATACGCATGAACGAGTGTCGCAGGACGATAATTCGGTATAATAAAAAAATCGACATTATGAGCAACGAAATTAAAACAATAATAACATCTTAAAGACCCGACATCCTTATGACAATAAACCATTCCAGGTTCATAGACTAAAAAAACTGACCGTAGCGTATTCTCCGTAATCGCCACCACTCCCTCGGCACATTGCTCGCTAGCGAAAGCCGACGCAAACTCGAGCGACTGATAGGAGAGCGGGGTGAGGTGGAAGCGATTTTGGTAGTGGTAGAGGAGCCACGAGCGCGACGACGTGCACATGATCTGAAGCGACTCGTCTCTCGTTCAAAATAAAAACGACGGACCGCGTCTTTGTTGAGGACTTTGACGCGGAACAGGCGAACGGGGCGAGTACCAAGGAATCTAAAAATTAAAAAGTGAAAAAGTCAGAATTCCGCGTTTACCTGGTTCGCGTGTCCATGAGATCTCCAGTGACAGAGTCGACGGTCGTGCGGAGGAGACAGCCGTTCTAAAAAAGTAAAAATAGTTACTAGTCTTCAATTGGCTAAAATTTCGAGTATTTCTTCAATATTTCGGCTAGCTATTTTTACAACAAAGGCAAAATCCTTACCTGAAGACCAATGTTCAAATGGATCGTGCTCGCACCACGGTTATCCTCTCCAGAAGCCTCAAGCAGGAGCAACGATTCCGGCAACGAGGGCAGCGCCTGCAAGCTGAGCGGCGCCAAGGTGTCAGTCGGGTCGAGGGATATGACACGGACGGTAGAATCGCTGACACCGACAGTCAGGAAGCGAGACCGGATCTAGAACGATGTTTAGAAAAGCGATGGGTTTACCTCTCCCTCCGGCACTTCAGACATGCTCATGCACAGAACTTCTCCGGGGAATTGTCGGCGTTCGGTGAACTCGTTCAGGTGACCGGTCTAAAGCGGAATATAATCTACAGGAAATTAAAGTAGACTGTTATTTTTGGAAGATGAAGTTCTTCAGACCCAACAGAAATCACAAAAATTTAAACCCACCACGTCCAACTCGAAATAGACAAGCTCGCCGCCAGCTAGAGCAATAGCGACCTGACGCCGATTTAATGCGCATTTCACGATCGTACGACGGCCAGGAGCCTAAATTCCGATTCTAGAAACGCTATTTCCGCTTACCCGCCACTCGTTCACACGACGATCAGCACGGATGTGACGGATGCCCTCGGGATAGACCTAAAAATGCAATAATGAGATAGAGCTGCAAAATATACTTGTAGCAAACTATCATCGCCGATAAGAGCACATCCAATGGTGGGTTGCGTCGCGACGAAGCTAAAAAATAGCAATACAAATAATTAGAAAATGACGGACCCGGAATCGGTGGCTTCTTCTACCGTATCACCGATGGCCAGAACGAGGGTGGCGTTGAGGAACGAGACGACAATGTACGAGTCAAATCGATCTAAAAAATGTGTAAATGATGGAGTAACCTAACAACCTTTTAAAAATACAGAAAATCACGTAAAAAAATGCTTTATTTGAAGTAAATTATGCAAAATCACCGAAAACCCACCATCAATATTTCGGCGAACCGTCCATACTGCGTTCGGGTTTCCCGGCAGCTCTGAAACGGCCATTTCTGAGACTTCAAGCCCGTTGCGCAGCACTTTCAGCTTTGATCCGGCGCCACGGCCGCAGAACGAATAGATTTGCGGCGCGTCTTCGCGGGCGAGGTCTCCAACCTGATGGAGATGTTCATGAGCCAACGATCGGAACGTACGTGCATATTCAGCAGCGGGCACAGCGACGCGATCGTGTCAACGGGTACCAGGTTTTTGAGAGAGCGGGGCTAAAACAAGTTCTTAGTCTTTAGCAAAATTGGTGATTACCCCATAAAAGAAGGTATCGCCCTCCTCGAGCTCCATTCGTGAAGAATACTCCTGCTCGTCGTCGTTGTCACCCAAATTGGCGATCTGGTAGAGCTGGCTGAAAAATGAATTTGATCAATTATTCTATGTTTTTCCCTGCCAACAATCCAGCTAGCAAAACAAAAAGCCGATGTTAGGGCTGAAGGCAAACTCACTGGTCTCCAAATTCGGCGGCGACGAAGAGGAAGCCTGTCTTAAGAATGCACATTGCGTTCGCAACCGGTACCGTGTCAAAGTATTTGATCTTCATTTCGGTGACAAGATCCTCATCGGTTTCCAGCGTGACCTAAAAGAGCCATAAAGACGTAAAAGAACAAGTTATACCTTGAAAACATCGCCCTGCTCGGTTTGGACCAAAAAGAAGAAGAGCAATTTGGTCTTGTGCATTGCCGAGCAGACGATCATCAAAGAGCGGTCGGCATCGTCGAGGTCATTCTAAAAAAAAAGTAAATTTGCCGAAATTTTTGGTGCAAATACTCTTCGTCTCGGGATTGGGCACTTGATGTCTGGCTGATCTCCGAGATTTTTGTAGATGAGGTAATTCTCGCAGCAAACGATCACACCGGAAGGACCTTCTTGACCGCCAGGCACTAAAACAAATGGTTATTCAGCTTCTTAAGTAGCTAAATCTCAGAAAAATTCAATACAATGTTCAGCACCGAAGTCCCCTCAAACTCATAAACACACCTGAAATCAACATATTTCCAGGGTCAGCCAGCGGCTCGGCATACTTTCTGACGACGTGGTTCAGGCCGAGATCGAGCTCGTAGAAAGTGAGCGTCTGGCGAGTCTTCTTTGTTGAAAGACCGCCCAAATTGTTGTCCGATTCCTAGAGAATCTCAATAAAGAAAAAAAGACACGTTAATACCTCGCAATCGAACTCCAACGAGGCAAAAGTCGGATTCTCGAAGCCCACGTCGACGCCGACCATGCTGTAGCAGAGCGTGTGGGCTTTGTGCGCTTCGAGGGGCGAGCTGATCGTGAGTCGGGATTCCATGTCACGATTCATGATGTACACGAGCTTTTGGCGTTCGATGGCTCCTAAAAGGGAAGAATAAGACTAAAATATTTTTCAGAACGTCATTTTTGGCCGCAAAATGCAAAAAAGAACTTGTTTTAGCTAATGCATACGTCAAAATGGCAAAATAATAATAATAATAAACGGTAGGTAGAAAATACAACAAAGAGTAGTATCACCCCACCAATCATAATGGCACGCCCTCGCGGATCGGCTGCCAAATATTGCCCAGGAATTACTCGTCTGCAACCGGTCTTTCCGTAAGTTTCCTAAAAAGAAAACAATTAATTAGGTCCAAAAAATCTTTTTTTTACCAGGTGCACACGCTCGAACATCCCCTTGTCAGTCTTGTATTCGAGAATCGCAATTCTTCCCGCATCCGAGCCGACGGCGACATAATCTTAAAAAAACGATATCTCGTCGAAGCCTATTCTGAACCTTTAATACTGCCGGCCAGTCGGAAGGCGTAGAGTGAGCGGATGATGCCGAAGACTTCTTGGGTGCATAGCGTCTAGGAGAAACTAGAAAAGACGCGGGAATTGGCTTACATGAACTTTTCCAGTCTTTGGGTCGCAGAAGATTAGCTGAAGGACGGTTCCTTTGGCCACGCAGACTTCCTGAAATTTTGAGGATAAAGAGCTGACCTTTTTTCGGGATAAAGGTAGATTGAAATCAAATTTTTCGATACCTGCTGCTTGCTGACGCCCGTGAAGGAGCCATGGACGGCCTGATTGATGGACGACTGCTGCTGAAGGGTGAGATTGTACAGATGCATCGTCACCAGCTATTATTCATTCACCGGTCCGAGATCCGGAAGAAGCGAGGAAGCCGGTTTGTTCCAAGGCGGAGCCGCGTTGGAAGGCTAAAAAGAATGTATAGTTTCAGGCAAACAGACAAAGTTGGGGGATTCTAGGGGTTAAAAACGCATAAAAATTCGGGCTTGTAGTTTTCAGCTTGCTTTCAAAATTATAAATAGCGGGTGTTAGGGAATTCTACAACTTTTTAGGACGGTCTTGTGGGTCATATGTACCCCAATATAACGTCTTTGAGCAAATTAACGCCAAGAGAGTCGAGTATTTCTATTTTCTTTACCAACAAATCATTATTGGAAACGTGAAATGCTTCTACTCATTTGATTTGCTGCCAGGACGCGCCTAACGCCCTGGAAAGCTCTTGGAAGAGTCGTTTTACGTGTAAGATGAAATTCTGAGGGTCAAATATCCAATTAATCTAAATATGGCCTAGTTTCGCCGTTTCAAGAATTCAAAACGTTACTTTGCCTCGGCAATTCGGAGGCGCTATTCCGAAAAACTCGGTATAGGGACGTTGTTTGTATCTGCGCGTCCTGGTCACGCGCATTCAAACTACACCCGATTTCGATGCCGTGTTCGCACATGTAAAATGTTTTTATTGTTGTTTTTATGATAATTTTTATGAATTGATGTAAAATAATCAGGCTGTTGGCATGCCATAAGTAAGCTCAAGCCCATCGTCGACCAGTTTTACCGTCAAAAGCGTCTCCGGAATTGCCACAAGCAGAAAAATCTATACGGGTTTTTTTAAAAAATTATTTTCGTGTCCTGTAAAACACAACGAAATTGAGAAGATAGAACTTCTTAGATAATGTATCGAGGTAGAAACCTTGAGCTCATTCCCGGTCCAGCTCACAGCTAACCGTTCATGGGCTAAAATTACTAAAAATGCCAGTGTTTTTATCGTTTTCTCGTCGTTAAAAACACCAGAAATTTCACCGAAATTATACATCTTAGAAAATGACGTCCAACAGCCCACTTGCCTTCGACGTCTACCCGGAGATCGGGCTGAAGAACAAGAACATTGAGTTCATCCTCGGCACGCCCATCAACAATATTATGACCCATTTGCAGCAAAACCCGAATATCCAAGTGGACTTGCTGTATTCCAGCAAGGTAGAGAGCAACAGAAAAACGTACAAAAATTCCTTAGAACCCGTTCTTCGAGGTGATCCAAATTAGGCTGGTGAAGTCGGGCGTCACGCTCCTCTTTGACGGCCGGACCCAGCTTTTGAAGGTGAAATTTATTGTTTTTCGCTCGAAAAGTGTATTTTAGCAAATCGAAGTGAACGCGCTGAGCTCGATTATCCTCAGATACAAGTAGGAAAAATATTGAGCTAAAATAAACTTAAAATTCTAGTGGAAAGGTATTTTCGGAACCTTCCGCCGAGGCCACGATGGAGAAAGTGGGGACGTTCTTTGCCAGCACTCACCCAGGAGGTAAGAAAAATCAATGCTATAAAAATAACACTCTTTAGCCTATGATGAGCGCCAGAAAATGTATGTGCAATCTTGGCGCGGGTTGTCTTTCTGCTTCCCTACAACCGGAAGTTTGAACGTTGAAGTGACGGCACGTTTTCCAGAAGAAGCGAATTAAGGAAATCTATTTTCAGCCTGGCTTCAGCCCAAGTCTGCACAGCTTGAGGTACGACGCCAGCTCGCAGCCCAAGTTGACGAAGATGAGCATCTTCAAGGGGTCGCTGGGCGGAAATAAGGAGTAAGTTTTTGTAGCGAATCGTTTTGGAAAGTAAATCTTATAGATGAAACTTTTAATAAAGAGTACCACCAATAAAATAACGCTTAATTTAGTGATGAGGAGCTTCTCGTACCCCTTGCCGCGTATTGCGGCCAGAATCGAACAATTTTGGCCGACGTCATCGTGGAGAACGGGCGGGTCGAGGGCTGTACATTCACTTTCTATACGCAAAGTAAGTCAGATGGGCTAAAAATTTCCTAAATGATCGCTGCTAGCTAGCCACGCTAACAAACAAAAATACTCTTTAGGCGGTGAAGCAGCTGAGGATCGCACTTCCCAGGCCGATCTTGAAGTTTTCGAGATGACCCGGCAAGTCCGGTTCGGTGATCCGTCGACGGTAAGTTGAAATAGCGCTATTTAGCTTTTCCAACATATCTAGTTTTCATTTTTTAATTAAGCTTAGGACATAACTTTAGTATTGTTTATGGAATTTTCATATCATCTACATAGTTTTTTTCTTGCAGAGTTTATGGTAGAGCTAGGCTAGCGTTTATAAGGTTTTTAACGTTGTTTGTAGAGATTGATAGCATTTGTATAGTTTTGCGTTTTAAAGTCCAGCCTAGAGCGCTATCGCTTATATAGTTTATGAATGTTTAAAGCGTTTTTAACATGATTTAGGTAAGAAACCATGTTTACAGGACGTAATGTGCGCTCTCGGGGCGCCGTCAAAGGTCTACTACAAGTCTGAGGACAAGATGATCATCCACCGGGGGCAAAACGAGTCGAAGGACGAGCCGGACTTCTTCTTCAACTACTTCTCGATGGGCGTAGTAAGGTTTTGAAGTATTATAGCGTAGTATACGTGTTTTCAGTCGATTCCAGGCTTTGAAAGGGGTTGTATAAGTTAAAACGGTTGCAAATTTATGTGGTAAAAACAACGAAGTAGCCGCTTGTATCTCGGATATCCGTTTTCAAAGGATTGTGGCGTAGTCTACGGGTTTCAGCTGATTTGGCCGATTATGAAGCGTATCAAACGTTCGTAGCTGTCGATTTTGTAGCTTTAAATGTTTTAAAAATCAAGTATTTTATAAAGAAAAATGGGAGGTTTATAATTACAAGGCTACAAAAATCATGGCATCTTTTAGCCTGTATTTACAGTTTTGTCCTAAGTTTCTTCTCCCGTTCGCCCAAGCATTACCCTCTATTTCTGCTTATTCCGGCTCCTCCCTATATACCACTTGGCGGTTAGCGTGTGCCCCCATAGGGGCCATTGCCCATTTGACATGGGTTGGCATAAAGGGAATATTTTAGGGATCGGCTGGGTGGAGCATGAGATGAAACTTGTGCAGCCACTAGCCGAGGGGTCCCTACGGGGTTCGGGATGCGCTTGTTGCCTAGTCATCAAAGGGGCGCAATCTAGCATTTGACGGATTGTTGTGGCTGTAGAACGGACTAGGGGAATGCTTTCATGGGATCAGGGTTTAAAGAAATTTACGTAAATACTTTTTAAAAGCCGGAGGTTAGATTTGATGGCTCCGAAAGACACAAAATGTAAGCGATACCTTAACAAGGAAAATCCGATCAAACATCAAAAATTATTCAAAACCAGCGCCCAAAACCCGCTTCGCGGGCCTTGGGCGCTGGAATGCGGCCTTTGCATGAGAAATTTGACTTTCCGATAGCTTGGGTCCTTCAGACCCCTCCCTTCCTCCGACCACACCCGCGCGTGCAACATGCAAGAATGAGGAAATTTGTATTTTTTGGAATTATGCAAATTAGCCCTCCCTGGCGCCGGACACACACACACACACAAAGATACGCGACCAAATTATATAATTATTCAAAAAAAGTCGTGTAGATTTGCAGAAAAGTTTTGGGGAAAAGATCTTCCTGAGATTCCCGGTATTTTTAATACTATTTTTTTGCCAAAATTTAAGAATATTTTAAGGGGAAAACAGTAAAAACAAACAAATTTTACTCTTTTGCATATTTGGTCGAAGATTCGATATTTTCGTATTTTTAATCAAAGTTTATAAAGTTTCTACGTTTAGGAATAGAAAATATTTTAGAAACACTTCCTCTATTTATATTACAAATAAAAATTGGCGGTTTAAAAAAGGTCACTCCCCGATAATCGATAAATCCCGAAAAAGCGTTTTTTTTTCCTGTGAAGACGCGTAAGTTCTGTAATTTTGCCACGTTTTTGCGATGATTTAAGGTTTTCGGAAGTTTTTTTAAAACGGTATTGAAGAATTCGAACGGTAGAATCTAGCCCCTCCCCCCCCCCCCGTTAATACATAAAATCCAACCCTCCTCCCATGCACGAGTCCCCCATTCCCAGCCGCCCATAATCATCACACAGCGAATATACAGCCAGCCGCTACCACAGTCAGGGTCACATCAGAACCCACCAAATTTACGGCCATCTCCGGGGTCTCGAGACGACACCCACCAATGTGCCGCCCTAAAATTACCCAAGCACGATGATGTGATCATTATCATCATCTGGGTTGTCTTTAGATCTTGTCGGGGAGCATCTGGTCCCCTCAGCAACTTTAGTGGTATCGGTTTGTTTCATTAACGATAGTGAAAAGCCATAAATCAAACGAGGAGACATTACTTAATGGCTGTATAAGTTTAACGTACTATTTTCAGCAGTATTTGCGATGAGCATAGCTTCTTTGGAGAGTTTTAGCTTCTTCCGGTCACATACTATGTACAGTTTAGTTAACAGTAGATCCGAATTTTTAATACCTCCCTGACGTGACTTTGCCCCCGATTTTCCGAAACTTGGCCCCCGGACACGGGCGATGAATGCGAGATAGGGATCTGGGCCGCATGCATGGGCCTCAAAACGGGGCTTGATCTTTTTGGGAGATAACGCTGGGGGAATTTGGGAGGAAGGAAAGCTAGCAGAGAACTTTTAGGAATTTTTACCTGGAGCCAATTGGCTGGATGGCTGGCTGGTATCGGCCTCTTTTTCCGGGCAAGGGACCCGGGTTCCGGCTCCGCCCGGTGTCAGGCTTGCCACGTTTTGAGCAGGGGTTGGAGGATATAAAACGGGCGGGGGGAGCTAGCAGAGATTTTTTAGGATTTTTCGACCTGGCCTCGAGGACGGCAGAGATTTTTGCTTCATACTCACAAGACCCGGGTTAGAGCTCACCCGAGGTAAATTTTTTGATTTTCAAGCTTACAATGGGTTTGTTCTCGTCCGGCCAGAAAAGGGTCAAGGTAGCAGAGAACTTTCCGGACCTGGATCTGTGCTAAATGGTTCGCTGCTTGCTTCGTGCTCAGATGACCCCAGTTCGAGTCCCTTTCGACGCAAACTTTTTGATTTTTTACGGAAAGTTGGGGCGGAGCGATCAGTTTCTGACGTTAATTTCTTATTCCCTATTTCCAGCGTCATTTGGAGCGCTCGTAGCCCGATCAGAACATGGCTGTTATGTGACCCTCTTCCCCCACCCATTGCCCCATCAAAGACAATACGTTGGCGGGGCCCTTTGACCCGGTTAGGGCCCAGTCGGGGGCCCTCTACCCCCGGATTATCCCCCCCGCTAAGGGATGGCTTCTTTTGTTTGAGAAAGATTGTGGACATCCACGGCACTACTAGTGGGCCCCGGGTTATTGATACGACTGCGCGTTGACTTATTAGGCCGGGGAGCATGAATATGCAAATTAGGGGGCTATACAGCTTGATGTAGGCGGCATTAAATTCGTATATATATAATTTATCTACATACACAAAAATAATAGAAAAAGGGTAGAACATAGAAAAATCTGTAGGGACCCGTAAATTGGCGGCTGGGATTGGGGGGAAATCGGCAAATCTCGAGCGGGCAGTGCGGGTGCAAGAAAAGCTATATCTCGGTGTAGAAGCATCGGATTTGGATGATTTTTATAGCATTGGAAAGCTTAAAAAGGCGCGTATCTCAGCATTAAAATATTCATATTTTTTGTAAGATTTTGCTCTTAAGGTGAATTATTTTGTTGGTATTCAAAGTTCTTTTTTACAAAATTCGTTATACGATTTTATACTCTTCATAAATATTAAGTATTTTAACGTTATAAAACTCTCCTTTTCCTCAGCTTTCCAATGCTATAAAAATCACTCTGACCCGACCCTCCTACCCCGAGATATAGCGTTTTTCAGGCGTCCCTAAAAACGGGAAATCTGATGAGATCAAGCGATAGGTCCAAAATGTTTTTTTTTGGCCCAGAAAAATTGGCTAGATGCCAAAGAATGATGATGAAGCCTTCGGAGGGGGTGGTGGAAGGGTACTTGTAGGGGAGAGGGGCTCGGATACTTGGCTCGACGGGCTGATCGAGATGGGGTGTGACATGGTTAGCGGGGTTCTTGAGTGTTCTCGCGTCACGTAGGTGCCCTAAAAATGAGGTTATATATGGTCGTAATTAAGCATGCAACAGTGCGTCGCTTTGAATGCGTTGCGGGTACGTTGCGTCAATCCGTAGACCCGTTAAAGGCACTGACAAGGGGTGACCGTGGGATTTTTCATATGGATTTTTACGTCGCGTAAAGCCAGCACTCCGCCTAGCAACGAATCGATTACGCTATATAAATGTTGCGTTGCGTAGATCACGGGCGCGGAAATTCCATAAGGAATACAAGGCGAAAAAATCCGTATCCATGACTTGCCCGTCCTTTTACCACCAATCCATTTCCTCCAGACGCGTCACGGTCGGGTCACTTACCTTATAATGCCGTTCCCTCGAGTAGTACATAGCTGTCATGAGCAGACACAACAAAAATGCCCCCGTCACGACGGCTGCCAGCAGTATCATCAGCTCGCTGCTTTGCGTGATACCGTATCGAGCTCCGAACAGCACCGCGCAGTCGCTCACCTAGAAAATCGGGATTTAAAAGCCGTTATTTTATTACTAAATCGAGCTTTTAACGATAAGGTTTTGTGCAAATTAGTCTCATAAATTATAGGGCAGTTTAAATTTTAGAGTTGTTTCGGTTTTAAAGGGCTTTTTTTGGGTAATTTCGAGTCAGTTTAAAGGATTTTTGGTAAATTCGGGGCTCCAAAAAACTTCACTCAACCCACACCTTGACCACCACCTTCCCACAAGTCAGGAGGTGCACCTAAAAAACTGGGACTCCAAGCGGGGGAGAACGGTGATAGATCTTCAATCCCCAAATGGGGTCGCTCAAAAAAAGTCGACAACACCCCCAGCAATAAACAGCTCCTGATCCTCACCTCGGCGACGTTGAGTAATGGCTGGCCGCGGAGTAGGGCCGGACCCTCACACTGTGTCTCCTCGTAGCTGAGCTGATGCCGGAGGGCATATCTGGAATTTGGGGTTGAGCATCATCTTCGAGCAGTTTGGTTTCGTTTTGAGCTTATAACTTTTGGCTGGAATATTCAATTACGGCCGTGAAAGACCAATCTGTGTAAGATTTTATGGGGAATTCGAATGCGGTATTTAAAACAGGGAAAATATAGCGTTCATAGATTAAAAATTGGCTCGAAAACGTTATTTAAAAATCAGTTTTATGAACTTTTGGGACAGGTTCAAATTCTCCTTTGAAATTTAACTCAAACTTTGCTGGGTTACGGTAGTCAGAATAATTTCTAGCGCCTTTAGAGCTTTTCGGCCAACCAAAGCCGTCCGATACGTGAGACAGAATACGTACAATTTTGAATTCTTCGAGCGATTACCTTGATTTTGCTAATTTTTGAAGAAAGATTCGAATTCTCCATTAAATTCTACACAAAACTGGCTAGATTACGGTAGTCTACAGTAACCTACCGACCAGCTATATTCCACAGAATCTTATCCCCTAATTTCCAAATTATCCTCCCAGTCGTTACCTAGAGGTAATGGCGGCACCACGGGAGTCGCCATGGGATCTATTTGCATATATGGGGTGGGTTGACTGGGGGTTGTGGGGTGCAGATTATGGTGTTCAGCCGAGATTACAAGGTATAGATAGAGAGGGAGCGAGAGAGGGGCGAGAGAGAGAGACAGAGAGAGACGCGCCACCCATGGCAAATAAACAAGTAAAAGCCGCACCTGAGCCTCGGCGCGACACAACACCTGCCACCCGGAGCGGTGGATTTGGAAAGTAATTCGAATTTGCATACGGATTGTTGGGATTAAAGGTATTTTTAGGGTAGGGATTTAGCGGTTTACGGTACTTGGAAAATTGCCAAGCTTGAAAATTAAAAATTTTTGACTTTTGAATCCCTTTGAAGCGATTACGGTGCCCCTAGCGCTTCAAATAAACCCCTTTGGCCGATTGCCAGATGTCAGATTACCTATTATCTCAATTATAAGCTGTTCTCCCCAAAAACGATCTCCCGATCCTCTCATTACCAGAAACCCGCTGGGGGGGGGGGCGGCGGCTAAATGACGGTTTTCGCGCCTCTCTGGGATTGCGCCACCGATCTAATTAAAGGGGGCGAGAGAGGGAGAGTGAGAGAGAGAGAGAGAAGGAGAGAGAGAGAGAGAAAGAAAGATACGAGGTGACTTCTGGCGTGCCAGCTGTTCACCTATACTGGGTGACCTGATTTGGGGCAGATTGGCGTCGCGCGGGGACCCAAATTCGGGGTTGTTTTCATTAAGCGGATGTGCTGGAGGTAATATAATGAAGTATGCCAGTAATGCGTCATCTAGGTGGTTTTAAAGGGAGTGTGACAGCAAGCAAAATATCCAAAAGTCCAAAAATAATAGCCAGAGAGAGAGCGGGAGAGAGAGAGAGAGAGAGAGGGAGAGAGTGAGAAAGAGAGAGAGCGAGAGATAAAGGAGAGATCTTGATTATCTGTTGTTTTCATCTATTTTTGGCTCAATTCCATACCAATCCGAATCTCGAGCCACGATCAAAGCGCTAGGAAACCCCTTTTTCAATAACCATTCCATTCACTCCATCACCCCCTTTTGTCCATGACACCTTTCGACAACTTTTTCCGCCCCAATCCTCAATGCTGGTGTCCCGTTAACCCGCGTGAAATCCGCTCGCCATTCAAATGTGCCAGAGGCAGCGGGGAGGAGGGCGATTTTATGAGAATCCCATGCAAAAACGGGAGGTCCGCCAGACCGTAAGGAGGATGGTTTCGGAAAAAGGGCCGCCAGGCATCAAAGGGGCTTTTAAGAGCGTCGGAAACTTGGAAATGGGGAGAGAATGGACTTTGGGAAGAGGTGGAAAGGTGAGACCATTGATGCATTAATGATACCCAGAAGTTCCCAAAATACCCACCGATCTTTCATATGTTGTTGTATGTGTTGAATTGAGCAACTACAGTCCCATGGATTCCCTTGGAGATGCACCTAAAATTTTGTAGTTCTGATGACAGTTCCATGACGCTACCAGCCGATAAAAACTACAGAATTCTCAGTTCAAAGCTCACCCTCTCGATGTCGTTGACAAAAACGAGACTAGCATGGGTCAAGGAAGAGAAGCGATTGTGAGAGATGTCGAGTTCTTGGACCTAGGATTTGAGCATTGATGATAGCTGAAGCTCGGAACCTTTGGCAAAATCGATCCGACATTATCCGGCAACGTGCTGAGCTGGTTTCCGGAAACGTTCAGGAATTGGAGCTGGCTATATTCTGGGGGCAGTTGAAGGGGCCACCAGTCGATGTGGTTGTAGGCCATGTGAAGGCGTCTAAAATGTCATTTTTGAGTTGGTATTGTAATTTACTCCCCAAAGAATCTAGGCTAGCCTTCCTGAAAGCCAGACCGCTAGTTCCCAAAGAATCTCTGCTAGCCGGCCTAATAGCCTCACCTCAAATGCCGCAACGTCCTCGTGATATCCGGTGGGAAATTCCTCAAGAAATTCCCGCTAAAACCGAGCTCGACGATCGAATCCTGAGCATGACCCAGCCAGGAGGAGTCGAACTCGTTTAGGTGGTTGAAGGATAGGTCGAGGGTTTCGATGTTTTGATCTCTGAAGTCATGGGTTACTAGGACGAGAGAGAGCGAGAGACAGAGAGAGCCATAGAGAGAGAGAGAGAGAGAGAGAGAAAGGGAGAGAGAGAGCAAGTGAGAAAACCCACCGAAAAGCCTCCGGATGTATCGGATTTTTGCCGATACCCAGCAGGTTATGGGACAAATCGAGTCGAGAGATATTGTTGGCGCACAAAACGCAAGGTGGTAGATCCCCAATGGCATTGTTGGAGAGGTCGAGCACCTAAATTAATAGGTTTGAAAGATTACGCATTAAATTCAATAGATTTTTTTGCCGGAAAAATAGGGTTTTTTATGGTTTCCCAATTTGAAATTTTTTTCTTACCTTCACACATCCTTTAAAGTCCCTTGAAGTTCGACAATTACGTAATGACCATACCTGAAGATGCGGTAGTCCCTCCAATTCGCTCGATGGTACACTTCTCAAATTATTTCCGCCGAGCCCAAGGTGGGTCAGCTTCGGGACACCGAGCAGGCTGTAAAAAACGGTATAACTGGGCGTAATTTGAATATTTAGGATTATTTCGGACTAGCGAATAACTTTTAGACTACAAAACACAACTCTCAACGTTTTCTAGACCCAGAATTCGCGTAAAACCGCATAAAGCATTTGTTGCTTTTAAAATAGATGGTTTTCTTTTTTGGTTCTTCCAGCCCCAGTCACTTGTTGCGTTAACGATGAAAAACTGGGCTCCACGCTCCGGGTGAGGCCGGGCGTGAAAAGACCCAGAAAAGACCCCGAAAAGAGCCCAAAAAGTGGCCAAAACATGGAAAACGCACTAGGGGGGAAGCATCCATCCGCAAAAATGGATTCTCTCTCTCGCTCTAACCAAGTCGAGTGCCTTTTTCTGGTTGGTGTGTGCCCCCGGGGGCATTTACCAATGGCCAAAATCAGAGGGGGGTAGCTGGCTGGGTGGGAAGTATAGCCGCCGGGCACAGGATTTCCTTGACGTAATTCCTCAAGGATCTCTGCTAGCCTGCCCTCTCACCTCAAATTCGCGATCGAGGAAATTCCGCAATTATTCAAGTAAAGCTCCTCGAGCTGGGGAACGTCGGTGAACAGGTCGTTGACATGCTTCGTGGGTAGACGATTTCCATCCAGGTGCAGGGAGCGGAGGTTTCGGAGGCCGTGCAGGAGGTTTGTCGGCAGATCCTAGGGTGGAGATTTTTATGGATTTTTGGGTTGATCGTTCCTTTAAACCGTTAAATATGCGATTTCTGACAAAAAAATCCGATGGAGAATTGGTTGCCGTTGCCTTCAACAGTCCTTTTAAATTTCCCCAAACCTGAGATTTTTATCTAATGAGTCCGTCAGAGGTTGTCAATCTTGCTCGCTCTCTCTTTCTCTCTCTCTCTCTCTCTCTCTCTCTCTCCCCGTCTTTCTCTCTCCCCGATGCCCCAGGCGATTTCCTGAAGACAAGTCCCCCAACACCTGCGCGATTAGCGCATCACCGGTGACAGTATCTAGCCGGAATCAAGCTCTTACGGTACCTGCATCGAGTTGTTGGCCAGCGAGAGTGAGCGCAACGATTTTAAGTAGGTGAACACTCCAGTGGGCAATATGGACAATCGATTGGAAGATAAATCGAGGACTCGCAGAGCTGGGAGGCCGCCAAAATTGCCCATGGTGGCGTGGTCGATCTAGAAAAGGTCGAGTTGAGGGGGAAACTAGCAGAGATCATTTGCCGTTGCCTTCAATGCACCAACTCGGCGGTATAACCCACATTATTTTTCCTCAAATCGAGCAGTTCCAAATTTGGTAGGCGCACCGAGCGGGACATTGACGGAATTTGACAGTTGATCAGGCGAAGGATTTTTAATTCTCTAAAACATGATGAATAGTCTCTTTCTCTCTCTATCCCTCTTTCTCCCTCTGTCTCTCTCTCTCTCATCTCCCTCTTTCTCTCTCTCACTCTCTTTAGCTCTCTTCATCACCCGCTCTCTCTTCGGCAAATGAGCACGACCTACCTGAACCTGTTCAAGTTGTCGTTCCACTTGATTTTATTTGCTGATCTCCAACTCGGAGCATTAACATCTAGTGTTCGGATATTCTGGGGTAGCTGTAGCAGAATCTCGCCGAACCGGCTGTCGTTTAGGCCGCCCTGAAATTTTTCGTTAGTTTAAGGGGATTTTTTCGAATTTTTCAGCCCTGTAAGGTCTATATCGCGCCCCTGCTACCGTATCACTTTAGTACGATACCTTGTGGCAATATACTGCGGTCGTAATATTATCCTGTGGCTGTCTCTCGCATTCACATTCCAATGGACAGTCGCCGGGTTGTTCTGCTCTTCTTGCCAGCAGCCACGGGAATAGCCCCACGGCTACCGCTAGCAACTTCATTACGATTTTCGACTAGCCGGCTGCTTTTCTTATAGATTTTCGGAGGGTCTGAAATAAAAATTTACATATTTAATTAATCATGTAATTTCTAACGTGAAATTCGAAAGGTGCATCGGAAATTGTCGAGCTTAAAGGGACCGGAAATTTTGGAAGGTGCGCCAAAAACTTTCCGATTCGATTACGCTAGGTAAAACAGCGGCTAATCGGATAACGTAAAGGCTTGAAAGCCACTCGCCAATGCGCCCAGAATATTCGGTTACGATAGGAAATCAAAATCAAAAAATCCCGTTAATCGATTACACCATGAAAAAGCGCGTCTCTGTGATACACTCCACCCAAAAAAACATGGAGTGCCCGGGCAAACAGATTGAAAAAGCTCGTGTGGCTGGGGCAGATCGTACAATGTGGAATCTGCTTCATGAAAAGTGTTTGTCGACAAAATCCGCCGGCACTCGCGGGGGGGGGGATGGATAGATAAACCCCCCGAATAAAGCCTCGCAACATCGAGCCGCTCCAATTGGAGTGAGGCTATGCAGACAATTTCGAATTTAAAGGGACCCGCAAGTTTGATGGTCGGGGTTTCATTTTTTGGTAATTTTTCACGAAAAATGGATTTTACTTAAAAGGTAAAATTTTAGATTGACTTTCAAAATATCCTGATTCAAAAATCGCTATTTGATTTTATTTTATTAAGCCGAAATTTTATATTTTATATGGCGGAATTTGGGGTGATTCGTCCATGGTAAAATTCAACAGATGTAAATTCTGATATTCTGAAATGTCGAAAACAGGAAAATTCGGTATAATAACTTTTCGACAAAATGCAAACACGATATTATCAAGTTTAGGCAATTATTTAAATCCAACATAAACAAATTTCGACAAGTGAATTTCGACATTAGGAAAATTCGGCATTTTGAAAAACTGACATTACGTAAATTCAGCTTAATGAAGTTTAGTCATTATGCAAATTGAGAATTGAATATTTACATTATCAAAATTGACATGGAATTGAGGCACTACGAATTTCGACATTACCAATTTATATTCAAATCTATATATAATCGTCGCAGGCCCAAAATAATCGATTACGATGGGAATTTGGCTTAACTGTCGATGTAATCGATTACTATAGTTAGCGAAAAGTGGATTAAGGAATAATTAAAACCCAAATAAAGCCCCTCAAAGGTCCCCAGCCAGATTGGGGGATCGTGAATTTGCGTAGTTGCCAGTCGAGGATCTGACTAGGCATAGAATAAGCCCCGCCCCCTGCCCCCGCCCCTTTTCTATACCCCAGGGGTATGAAGGGGAGACTGTCACCCCCCAATCCTTCAACACGAAATTAGCATAACGTTGTGTCATTCGAGAGCACACCCTCGCAGCGGGGTTTCTTGCGGAAATTGGTGGAAAAATTGGGCCCTGGGAAAGTGCCAAATCAAGGGCCCTAAAAATTGGGCCCCCGGAAAATGGCGCCCAATTTTTGTGTAGTATCGTGGGGGGTCGGGACCGGAAATTGGGGGATTTTTGGCGATATACATCGAAAAGTCATTTCTGCAGAAGTTTAAAACCTATTTTCGCTACCGTAACCCAGCAAAATTAAAAAAATCAGGGTATTGGATGGGATATCAGGGTTTAGTATTTTATTCTCTTCTGAATAATTTTTTTTGTGTTTTTATAGCTTCAAGTTTGTTAGTTTTAAACGGTGATTTCCCTAATTAGCATTCGTCGCTTTTGACGACCTGAATACGGGAATTCCGAGAAAATACGGTAATTACGGCAGGTTCTTTTTCTTGTTCTGGAAGTTTAAAGGCACGGTGGAGACAGGATCGTGATTTTTTTCTGAATTTTAACGAGAAACGTAGCCCCTCAATTCTATTTTTAACTGTAGTTTTTCTATTTTTTTACGTTTTCTTACTATTTACGGCACTTTCTAGATCCGTTAAGCTAGAAAACTAAGTTTTTATAGGGACTGGTAACCCATTTTTGGCAGCTTTTCGAGTTCTCGGTTTCCGGAACACCGTTCCCTTCCCCCCACCCCCTTGGGTACATAGGTGTATTTTGGAAAGACGATTCCCTGCAGTCAGTGGTTGGGCCCTGTGCTTGGCCCCCCCCCCGTGGGTCTCTATTCAAAAGCGGTGAAAGGCCATGCAATTCCAATGTCCACCATCCACCGCTACCACAAACAGACAGCCACAGGGCTATCCACCCGACGAAATATACACACAGCAACAGATTGCATTATGCAACCCCAAAAATGGGCCATGGGCATTGAAAAATTGAATTGAGGGGTTTTTGAGGGGGCGGATTGTGATTTTAAAGGTATCTGGAAGTATCCTAAATTTTAAATTTTAACGACCGTTTTTTAAAGGTCTCGAGGACGATGCATTTGGCGAAAAAGCAAAATTTTTTGCAGTGGGTGGGGTCGAACCCTCGATGTGCACCTCAGAGCCCAGCGTGCTAACCAGTATACCATGGCGCCATCGGGGACAGCGCGGTGAAAGCCCTCAACTAGATCGAGCATTACCCCATAAACCAACCAATCCAACCTGCAACCTACTACTGCCAACCTTTTTGAATACCCTTTTTTAGCCGCGGGTTTTCGGGTCAAATGGCAAAGGAGGGGGCCCCAGAATTGGCCCTTGGTCCCACGACCCGGGTCTCCTTGGCCCCCGAGGCCCTCCTCCGGCTTCGAGGAGGCCCTTATCGGGTTACTAAGTACGAATTTGTAATGAAACCCTTTAAAGGACGGGGGCAGGGAATGGGTGGGTTAGCTGGACCCGTGATTTCCGGAAACTCCTCCGAACGGCCGGGGACGGTTGAACTTGGGGAGTCGAATTTCGCGGGAGTTGGAATATGGATGCCAATTTGCGTGTGGCTTTCATTAGGGTGAGTAGAAGGGGGATGGATGGACTTGGAGTCAAATCTTAGGTTTCGGACGTGAAATTCGGTGGAATTGTAGTAAAGACGGCCTTTCAAAACCACAGATTTCCGGAGATTTTTTCGCTCGATCGAATGAGCACGCGTCGCGCAAAGTCATGGCTTCACCTCCACCCTTTTAGCCACCTCCCCTAATCGTATAATTCGACCGACTGGATCAACCGGCTGGGGCAGGATTTAGTCATTTTGGGCGAGAGAGAGTGATAGAGAGAGAGAGAGCGAGGGAGAGAGTGTGAGGGAGTGAGAAGGCAAACCCGGGAATCCATTGCTCAATTATTCAAGGGCCCGCGGGAGGAATCGGTTCATTGCCTCCTCGTCTAAAGACTGTGAGCAACAAATGGGCGGGTAGAATGGGATGGTGCCACCTGCACCGCGTCTCTCTCTCTCTCTCTTGTTGGGCCATTTCCCCCTTACCAGCAGTCATTTTCGGGACAATTGGCCACGACTACCATACCTACCAGGTCAACCGGAAGCGGTGCCGTTGTTTTCCCGGACCTGGGATCGGGCAGGCGGTGCAGAAATTAGCATACGAGCTAAAGAGAGCTCGAAAGGGGCTCGCAAGCCAAGAGTAAGCAAGTTAAGGTATACGTTGAAGCCTAAAAAACCAAGCCTAAGCTAAACCTAAGCTCAAGCCTAAGCATGAGCCAAGCCCAAGCCCAAGCCCAAGCCTACGCCTAAACATAATCCTAAGCCTAAAGTAAGCCGCCATGCCGAAGCCTAAATTAAGTATGCCGGAAAATTGGGTGCAGTGCCGGCTTATGACCCTAAATAATAAGCTTAGGCTTCTGGATGCTAGGGTGGACAATGCGAGAGAAACAACAACATCATGGCATATGGGTCCCCTAGTGGAGGGTCAAGAGAGGCCATATTTGTGGGGGGGTGAGAAGTGGGAGCTAGAGACCCAAAGCCCCGGATGGGACATCGAACCGTCTGACAGGTGGTCAAGGGCCCACACAACAGGATATATAGAGATGGATATTGGAGAAGGAGGGAAAAACAGGAGGGAGAAGCTAGATAAGCATGCTAGCAGAGATCATTTTGTGAGTGGAGGAGAGGCATGCTAGCAGAGAGCATTTGGGAGTCGAGGAAAGGCGGGCTAGCAGCGCTTGTTGAGGAAAAGGAGAGGGCAAGCTAGCAGAGATTATTGAGGAAGAGGAGAGGGCAAGCTAGCAGAGATTGCGGAAACCCAATCCTCCAGACTTTTTGAACCTCAATTTTGCCTTCCAGGCCCCTTTAACCCCTCCCCAGCTGCGACTCCTTTAGTATTTTCTTGCTGTTTCTTGGGAGGGAAGTCATAAATCCCTGTCCGGGCCACTTTCTCGACCTCCCTCAAGGGGCCAAGGTGCCAAAATATATATATATCGAGAGGGCCCACACCCCAGTCCGAAAGGACCGGGGGCAACTGCGCAATTCATCAACGCCTTTCCAACACTACGCCCCACACACAACTGACGCCTCTGGAGGGAGGGAGAGAGAGAGAGAGAGAGAGAGAGAGAGAGAGATACAGATACACCAACCGGGAGCCCGGACCCTGGGCCCCTTGACCGCAAACACGATAATCGGGGGGTTGGAGTTGGTTTGTGGGGGGGAGGACCCTAGTGGGCCACATGGACCGTGGAATTGGGTGGAAAAATTTGCCCTAGACTGCTTGGGGCAGCTGACTAAATCTAGGAATCTCTGCTAGCTTGCCTTTGCCTGAGAACATCGTTTTAAAGATAAGCGAGGGGCAAAATGGCGTTGATTTTCATTTAAAAGAGCTAAAAATCCCAATTTCAAAGAACATCCCAAAGAATCTCTGCTACGTACACCCATTCTCAAAAGATATCTGCTAGACTGCCCTGAATACTTCAAAAATCAAAACTCGGAATCGGTGCAAACTCCAAAACTCGAGCTCGAATCTTACTACGAGCTCAAAACCGCCCCCACACTCCCCTGATAGCGCCTGCTCCCCCATATTCTATTGTCTTGGCCCTGGGATGGGCATCTGAAGTGGCGCGGCCCTATGGGGTGGGTCTTCCCCTGAGGGCTCAGAATTATGACCAATGCGGGGCCCATCCCATGGC